TAGTATGCTTTGCCTTTTTATGAATTCTTTTTCTTTGCCTCATTTTCCTACGAATTTCTGTGGTAATATATGGTTTATCTGATGGACGTATTGTAATTTGCTTTTTTGGTATATGTTTATCTACTAAGGTTAGGTAAGTGCATGTAAAATTTTCATAGACTTCATTCATATTATTAGAGGTAAACACTTTTTCATCCCAATTAACATTTTGTAAGTCATTGTTTAGGTCTTGATAATTTGCATTATTATAATTTCTAATTGTGCGTTTGAAGGCATGTTGCTTATATGTTTGAAATGAGATTTCTGTAGAGACAGGTGAATGAGAACTACAAATGGGTTCATCGACTACAACACTCTTAACTTTGGATGGATCATTAGTTAACACTAGGTCTATGCAAGTTCCAATATCAGTTGTAAAATTGGTAGGCTCTAAGACAACATTACTTAAATTAAGTTGTAGTAGTAGGTTTTGAAATGTATTATTCCCAGGAGCTAACATGTTTACATTGAAATCGCCTAACAAAAACAATTTCATCTCTGTATCTAGAGCTCTCTCTACAGTACTTGTAAACCTATCCCAAAAATCAGACCCAGAGTTGGGAGGTCTGTAGATGACTCCAACCAAAAACTTTTGATTTTGTGACTGGATCTCTGCCCATAAAATTTCAATATCAGAAAAATTTAAATCATTTCTAACTTTAAAATTTAATCTAGTTGAAATGTACAGTGCAACTCCTCCACCATATCTATTTCTGTCTTTTCTAACTGGTTGATAATAACCATCAAGTGAAAGATTACTATTGTCAATACTCTGATCTAAGTGAGTTTCAGTAATGGCAATTATATCATTTCCTGAAAATTCATTTCTAATAATATCAAGTTTAGGGGGTAAACTGCATACATTGTTGTGCACAATACTTATGTGTTTTTTTTATAATCTGCTGGACCTGGGTTTGTTTCCACACATCCACATATTAGTAATATTGTAATCATAGTGATATTAAAGTGATTATTTGAGATATTAAAGATTTTTATGAAATAGTAAACAGGATACTGTTCACATTTTTGGTATTTGTTACTAATCAATGAAAAAACATTTGAACTGACATCTCTAGCTACATGTAACTGGAGGATAATAATGAAATGAAATATAGTATGCAAGTAATAAGCTGGAACAAAACTAAATGGAGAAAAATAAAACAAAACTAAATGGAATTCAAACAAGAGTAAACAAAAAATGAACAAAAAATATATGCAAATGAAAAACAAACTTTGTAGAACAAAAAGTGTTAACATATGTACACACACTGCATTTATTGGAGTCTGAAACAGTTGTAGTAGGAATACTGTAGGAATATTGTTTAAGCACTGTAAATTTCACAGGTTTTAAACCCAAGCAAACAATTTCCAAAAAAGTCAAATTGCTGAATGTATCCATAGAACAAATTCGAGCAACAATTACTAGCCCATGACTCCAGTATTAAACATACACACAAAAGGATTAAGATGATTCTTAAGCATATAAGTATTGAGAGACTTCGAATTACCATATCTATATATGTTGAATTCCGAAAATTCATAAAAATCCTTACAAATAAAGATACAAAGAAAGTTCCAGTAAATGTTCTACCAAGCTTCTTTCTGTACTCTTCACTAAAATTTAAACAGTGGTGAAGGAGAAACTTCAGTTTCAGGAGCAAAAGTATATTCGAGAGGTGTTGTAAATCAGAATTGGATACTTACTGAAAAATTAAATCATAATTTTTACCAAAGTCAACAATATAAAAAAAATTACGACTTTTCAACTTTATTTACAACCATTTCCCACGATATTGATTAAAATTCCGGCGCCTTTTATATCATTGACAGCTAATTTTTCCAATAAAAATTGAACTCGTAAATTTACATATACCTTGTCATTGTCATTTGCAAAATTAGTTAAAAACATTCTGATTGTACATCAAAGTAGTGACGATATTACAAGTTTATATTAAAAAGATGCTTGATTCTATTCTTATATCTATGTGGTTTTGGGAAAACAAGTTTCCGACAATCTTTTGGAATTCCCATTGGTACCAATTGCCCCCCGTTATGAGCAGTCCTATTTGTTGTATTCATATGAACATTTGTTCAGAATTTTATACGTGAAAAGAAGAGAACACTTACCGTAGCCTTTAGATATACTGAGGACGTATTGTCAATTAACAATAGTTATTTACATTTTTATGTCGATACGATATGTCAAGGTGAGCTCGAATGAAAGATACTACAGAGTCTGACTCATCTGTTTCATATTAGGGTATTTAACTAGAAAAAAGACGTTAATGATAATTTAACAACCAAGCTTTATGATTAATTAAACGAGATGACTTTTCCATCGTCAACTCACTTATGCAGCAATATACCTTCATCAGCTGCATACAGGGTTATATCTCCCAGTTTAATAATTTCTTAAACGACTTCAGTTATTCAAAAAACAAGGTAATGAAACAAGAGTTTCAGAAGTCCTGTTAAAATTCATCATTTCCGAGCTTTTATAGTCAATTCCTTTTTGAAGCATTTCTTAATACAACAAAAGAAAGTAAGCTTTATTTTTTTCTTAATTTTTTTTGCTTACAAACACACTGAAAAATAGTCACAGAATATCATAAAAGACCAAGATTTGATGAACTTCATTTTATGCATTGTAATCGTAAAGTAATTAAAAAATAATCATGATTTCAAGACCTTTTTTATGAGTAATTAATTAAATTACGATTACAACTGTACTTGTTATCAGAAAAATGCATGATTATTGGTTACTCATATTTGCACCAAGCTTTGATTTCTCTCTGAATGTTATATTTTCTAAATGTCTGCAAAAATATTAGACATTGTCAAGTTCCTTTTCTTTCTTTTTTTTTTTTTATCTTTTTAAAAAAGAATTGTGTTGTCATGGTTCCTGAAATTGTAAAAAGTAAACTTGCAACTCTTTAAAAACACAGCCCTTATCATCCCTCGGTTTTCTTTTATTTAAAACAAAATTCTGATGTGTGCAAACACAGAAGTTCCGCTTAAAGTAAACAAGTAGGATTTGTATGACAAAAATATATTCGTGTTTATATTAGAGTTACCGTTCTTCTCTTGTATAACGTTAACACAAATGCTAGAGAGATGTATGCATGTAAAATATAAAAAAGATAAGTGTTAGATTTATCGGTTGTTCATTTCAAAACCCTTATGAACTCAAAACACACGTTTATTTCTTTTACAATTGATATGATTATAACATCCTTAATTTTCATTTGATTAATTAAGCAAATATCCTCATGCCAAAAACCAAAGAGCAGTTGCGTACTGATATTGAACAATAAACTTTCTCTGGGGTCATCAACTTGTATTCTAGGTACTTCAAATTAATCCTGTAATCTAAGATAGTCTTACAATCTCTCTTGCTACAGAGTAAAACCCTGCCTGTTGGAGAAGACTTTCCATTGATGTTTTCGACAGTATCCTTGTTTGTACCGAATGAAATCAAATTCTTAATCCGTACGATTTCCAAGTTGCTAAAATGATTGGAATAAGAGAGCAATCAAAGGAGGTTACATGTTATTTAATTGTGATTGTGTTTTTATATGTTTTAGAACATTGGGGCTGGTTATTACGCCTGCCGGAGTAAAGAGCTAGGGGATACGTTAAGTGACAATTTATACTCACTGCTGAGTTTGTCTGTGTTTTACTCAATTCACTTCTATAAAATCAGTAAAAAAAGGTGAAAATTTGATGATTTTTAGAGATTTGTTGTTATAAAAGTAATTTTTTTCTCGAGCTCTGCGTTAGCACATGAGAAAAAGAGAGAAAGAGATTACTTTTGTTTGCAAATATGCTGGTCATGTAATTCAAAATAAACTTTGACGGCATACATGTATTACTTCTGATAAGAGAGATAATTTCGAAGTTCAAGTGATGATTACCACTCATGGTTTTCAGTTATCAGAGTTTCCTTACTGACACCTATGAGTAGTTAATATAACCAAATCTAACATCGGATGGAAACATAACCTATTTCTTTTGTCAATTTCTTTCTATTTGTTTTAATATACTGAACAATTTTTTTTAAATCCAATCGTAAAGGCCTAATAAATCGAATAAGGTCTGTCATTTTAAGCTTGGGGATCTATTTCAAAAAGGGTTTAATTTATGTTTCGAGTACCAAATACAGAATTTTCAATAGCATTACAATTTTTTATTAGTTTTACAATATAGTTAAAATAAATTTTGTGCAATTTAGAGCATAGGGTCATTAGTCCTCAAGTAACCAAAGCTTTACCTTTTAATTGTAAAAAAATAAACATGCAAATATGGAAAAAATAAAATGTTGCATGGTTCTACTCTAGTTAAGGACAGAATACCCAAAATCTTGAGAAAAATTAAAGTCTGAATTCAAACAACCTCTTGCTTTTTTGTCGTTTTAAGTTTCAAATTATTTTGCTAAATAATAAAATTGAATTTGCATTATCTTATTTTTAGGGATTTCATACCTCATATATAATAAATTACATAACCAAATAATAAATGATAAAGCAAAAGGTTTTAGATTTACATATTTTAACAAATCAAATGCTTTCTAAACTAACCTAGAAAGTTACATCAAATTAAACCCTATAGAATTTACTTTAAAACCGAATTATGTGGAAAAAAGGATATAAACATATTCAGATATAACATAAATGATACCCATATGTAGTTATAGATTAAAATGGCGATTTTAATACACTCTACTAGGAGTAAACTGAATTTTGAACGAAACTTAAAATTCAACATGTATTTAGTTTTAATTATTGAAAATTATATAAAAGTATTCAAGTTATTTTCTTAAGAAAAAATAATAAGCATCGGGTTAAATACGGGTGGATACGAGATCAATTTTACCATAAAAACCTTTGGGCTTTATAGATTACATCTCGTGACCAACCCGAATTTATGTCAGGATAGATGGTAAACAATTTCGATCTTTCAACATCATATTAATTTAATGAAATACAAGAGTGAGAGGTCCATTAATGGTGTTGTCAAAGGTATCGTGCTCAGTACGACAACATATGTCTATTCTGCTGTATCCCTTTCCATAAAAAGCGGGCCCTGTATCCACAACCTAAAGAAAAAGTCAGTTACTTTTTACAATGCTAAAAATATAATAATTAAATGTAAAATGAAAAAAATAAACTCTTTATATAGTTTTGAATATTACTTCTCGGAAAAATGTAAGAACATTTTTTATTTCGTTTATTCCGTAAATGAAAGAAGTTTAAAGCATACATGTCTACACATGTACAATGTAATTTGGTCATACACTTTGTTCATTGAATCAATCTATGAAGTCTAAGTTTAGATTACCCGAATGGCTGGCCTTTGTCTTCAAAGAGACTTTAATTTAGAAGGCAACATGCCTGTTCGTTTTACCAATTTTTCATTGTTATAGAAACAATCGTGCAAAATAACACATTTGAATCGGAGAAGGAGTTCGAATTTAATATGCTTTCGGGACAAAATTTTAGAAAACAGCTAAGTCAATCAATGATCAATGATTGTAATTGGAAACAAATACAAATTAAGTGAGTAGTATTCTAAAGTAGAGTATTCATATATAATGTCGTTTAATTTGCATTCTGGGCTTTATTGTACATACAATGAAATCGATGAATCTGTTGTACTTCCTATTCAATTCGGGGATGCAAACATGAGTTCCATAGGGAATCCCTGCGTGGTTATCCATAGCAACACTTACGTGATGAACTCGTCCCTCAAGATAATCCTTCATACATAAGGAAAGAAGAAACTTGAAATATCTTGTAGCATATTGACTATGAATTTTGTGAAAAGAACAGAATATTAAGGATGACGTTTACTCAGGTTTCAGAAAAGAGAAAGAAAATTTTATAAAGTATAATATGTTAAATCAAAAATTGCAATAAATGAAAATATAACTAAGTTTTAACTCAATATCAATTTAAAAATTTAATATTTTATTATTTGAAGAAAATATACGGGATGAAATGTCAATGTATGGTAATGCAGAGGAAATTCGGACTAAATTTTTCATTTTTCATTTTTGTCAAAATCTTTTTATTTTTGCAATATTAATCATTATGTAAATGTTACACGTATTTTTAAATATCATTTTGCAGATATTATATGTATTTAAGGTAGGTCACTCGTCAGCCTTTTGGAAAAGTTCACGCAGAACTTCTTACTTCAAAACTATTTATAAAAATTCAATTTTTATAACATGTTTAATTTCAACAATGTTAATGCTTTAGCATTCAACAAAAAAACTAAAAACGGCTCAAAAAGCTACAAAGAAGCAAGATTTGTGAGGGACTATTTTTTGTGGTGGAAGGATATTTAGCAGATAATTCTGCAAATTTGCACATTTATTAAATTTAATATCTTGGACTTTTAGCCTCATATACTTTTACTCGGAGAATATTTTCCATTATGTTATTGCTAGGAATATTTAATATAGGTCTTAATTTATATTTTAGAACAAGTTTTACACCTTCCTTCAACAAACTTTACCAAAAAATGAAGATATGTCAAATTAGTCACTATAAAATTAACACCATTTTTTGCCTGAAAATCACATATTTTGACCAATATTTTAAAATTAACATCACTGACCCCAACTTTTTCTTTCATTATTTTAAAGTACTCGATACTTGTGACTAATCAGCACTTAAGTCGTAATAAGCTTGATTTAAAAAAATGTTTTATTGTCTATTTAATTTTTTAATACCCCAAAATATGTTACTTTTTAGTGCAAAAAGGTCACACAATAATTTACGCGCATTAACTTGCAAGTCTAGATTTATTCAATGATAAATATTATTCAAAATATTTTACGTAAAATAAGATATTTTTTTGCCATGGTTACATCTGATAAAATATAATAAAGGTTTAAGTAATCAACCTAAGAGTTAAAATTTAAATGCAAAAAGGTCAACTTCATTGCACCGTAGATCAGTAAGATGAACACTGACCCCCTATTTTCTCTGCGATTTTGAGTCACTCTATATGAGTACTTATCCAAAATATACTTCTCAATAAATCCTTGATTTAAGAAATTTCACGAGTGATACCGGTATACCTTAAGCTCATAAATTATTTCAAATAATTGAATGATATGAAATAAAGAAATTCAATAAAATGAACATAAACCATTCCGGACAACATATCTCAATAATTTGATCATTGACCCCATTTATAATGTTAATACCATGAGAATTTGGGCAAAAAGGAAACCTAAGGCTATAAATAATTTAGAGTTCTTATCAGTGAGATTTTTGTAATATTCGATTAAAAATGGGGAAAAATATAAATACGGCAGAGGAAATTCGGACTGTAATAATTATCAAGTTTATGGCCAAAACTTCAATCGTTTCTTTATATGAAGCAATGCTGTTCCATTCCTATAACATTTTATTATTTGAAGAGTTTTGTTGCTTATAATATTTTGTAAGTGAAGAAAAAAATGGTCATAGTGTAAAAATTGAGGTATTTCCCGCGAAATACTTAGGGGCCACTAGCATGAAAAGTAGGTCATTGACCTAGTAGTTTGAAATTGAAATTTAACATCAGAATTATAGATGTACAATGTGCAATAGGTGGTTTTTCATTCATATCAGTGGAATTTTTAGTCATCTGAGTAAAGGTATACCTTAAGCAAATTATTTATGTGTATCTTCTTCCTTTATTCTTATAGAACTGTTAAATACCTGTAGTGTTTGTAACTTGTGATCACGCATATCCACAAATCCCCCTTCAATGGGATCGTCCGCTGGGTAGTATCCCGTCCCCCGGGCATGGTGACGGTGATGGCCGTGGGTGCATTCTATGTTATTTATTGCCCCTGAAAGATAAAAGATTATCTTTCCTGTTTCAAATGGAGCTTTGTTTCTATTAATATTGTAGACAAAGCCAAATTTAGGCTATAAAATACATGTAGTTCTCATTATAAAATCAAAATGTTGATACACGCCATTGGTCCTAGAATTAGAAAAATATTAAACAATACAAAAATTATTATAATGAATCTATAAAATAAAATATCTCTGAACATGTTTTAGACAGAACAAATATGTGTATTTAACTTGTGAGAAGGAATCCGGACTTTTGGGGGGAAATTGTTTGAAAAAATAATTTAGTGATAGACTTTTATAATTAAATATAGATTCATATAAATACATTTCAAAATCATCTTTATAAGAATAAATACATTAAATTTTGAAATTAATGACATTTACAAACATACTTCTTTTCTTGAAATCCTTATAATAAACAATATGACAAATATTAATATTTGTGCTATTGAAAGATACACTTAAAAAAGAACAAAGTAAAGGCCTAGAAAATAGAAATTGTAACTTTACAAGAATATCCATTGTACCTGAAGACAAACCGACTAGAAACACGAGAACAGTCACAAGACGGTACATCTTTCTCGTTGTCTTACAGACCTAGATGTTATGTAGATCATAATCTCTTATCAATATGGTTCAAACTAAATTTTCTCGGTTCTATTTTGAGGTTTCCTACATGAACATTAATATATTAAGGGAAATCAATATACTATTACTAACTATTTTCGTGTTGTTGATTGCATAGTTGTCATTTGTTTAAACTTCATCGGAAGTGGAATCGATTGCGCAAATTTGTTAAAACCTTACAGATGTTATTTCGGAAAATTCATATACTCAGCATATACTTAAAGACAGTTTATCATTTATAATAAACGCAATGCGTAATATCTTTGTATCCATATTGAATGTTATATTGTTAAAATGACAAATAGGCCCGATAGGCCGGGTGTTTAAATTCCTATTATATGTATATTTCTTGACAGCTGTTGTAATTGTACATAACACATGTCACTATAATAAACCATTTACTTTCTTACTTACTTACTTATTTCTCAATGCAGTATACCAATAAAAAAATCTATAAAGGACATTTTTGTCCCTGTTATATTTTCGCCCCTTTCGGCCTCTCATGGTTTGCCGAATTTAAGACGGGATGAATTACAAAGAACACTGAAAAATTTCTTAAACAGAACTATGACTGTGCTAATTTAAATCAGTGCAAAATTGTTCGCAAAAGCAAAATAACTCAGGACGAAAATAACCCTGTATACAGTATAGTTCACTGTTGTGGTAAGCTTCTTATGCCGATAGGTGACAAAAACAAAAAATGCCGAATTTTACTCCTTCCCCAAATGAAGCTTTGATTGTACCACATAAAGAATGTCCTGAAAAGCTATGATGTGAGCAGTGGTACATCAACAATGAATTGGAGGAATTATTACAAGCTCTAAGAAAGCATAAATAACAGGCAATTCCAGTGTAAAAAAAACACCAAATTTGCCTTCCCTTATGTAGCAATAATCCAACATAACCTTCATATGATGTTTTATGTTTTTCAACTGATTAGATATGCTTTGAATGTGATCTGTCTTAATTAAAACCAAGACAATTTTCCAACAAATAAGTTAATTTTGAAGGGATTACAAAAACCTCGTTTAGGATCCGTTCTTTGCAGATTTTACGGTCGTTATATGAAAACCTTGTATTTATTCCAACAAATGGATTCAATTTTGTCCAATATATGACATGGCATTTGTAACGTCATAAATCTGATACTAGATATAACAAAAGAGTATTTCCTCAACTTGAACAATACACTAACTCATGGCAGGTGTGGCTGATCAATCAGAGATGCATACACCTTCTAAGCTGTGATTCCACCTCTCTTTTAAATATTGCCAAAGTATACCGGTTAATACATTTAAATGGTGTTTTGCATAAACATAAGACTTGTTAATTTAGTTAAATAAAATTCTAATAATCGAAATATAGTTCTTCATAAAAATTGGGGTTCGATTAATGAAAAATTAAAATTGATAAATTCAAAACGCTTGTTATTCACAAGGCTTGCAGAAAGAATATACACCAATTCAAGAACGAGTTAATATACTAGTAATAACAAAAAATAAAAGATGCTCTGTTTATCTCACCTGGATGAGATGACGAAGCACAAAGTGATGATGTCGTCTTGTTGCCGTTGATATGCCAAAAAAGTTATTTCTTGATTTAAGAAAACATGAAAACGTAGAATTATTACTGATCTGTTTAGTCTTGTAAATCTGCGGTAAATCTTTTGCTTGTAGAAGATTTTATTCTAACAGTCAATTTTGATTTTATTGTCATGAAACAGGGCAGATTACTGAACATAATGAGGCAAAATAAAATGTTAAACGTGAATATAAAAAAAGAGTAAATTTGCATGAATCAACATCAATTTGAAATATTGGAATATTGCAGAGCACCGATATCCAGATGCTTAACAAACCTATTCAATGTGTTTGAGATTTTTTTTTCATATGATTTTAGGGAAATCTTACTACAAGGGAAGAGATACTGTAAATATTTAACCTTCCTATAAGATAAAAAACTATTGGTTCAGTTTCATATTAAAGGATTTATTCCATATTCCATTCTACACCATACAATACAAACGTATCTTATTATTTATCTTACCAGGAAACAATATCTTTGCATATTGAAGCAATAAAGTACCGGTATGCAAAGAAAAAATTTGTAAAGACAAGTATGTTACACAAGAAAATTGACAAACTAATAAAGTATACATATTTAACCGGGACTGCCGACATTTCTGTGTCTTAACCGCAAAACAAACATTTCCAGTCAAAGGTTCATGAAAATGAATTCCAGGTTGAAAAATTTTGACAACGCTGCAACCTATGTTTCAATCGTAACATAGAAAATGAAAACGATGATAGGAAGCATGGTGGAACAAATAAAAATGAATAAGAACAACTTGTCCAAAGCATATGCAACTTCCTTCCAGGTGACCTTCTGATCTACGATGTCTTCACACGATCTGCCACGGTCTTCAGCGGGTTTAATTTTGATGTCGACAACAGATAAAAACTTTTTTTCGTGTGACTTTTGTCCCATAAATCTTACAAAGGCAACAGTGCAAGCAGAGAGGACATCACATGACCTGTGGTATATATTTATTACGAGGACATTGCAGATTAAGATCATGGTGCTGTTTGCAAGTTGAAACGCAAAAATGATACTGAGGACAGAAAGCGGATTTGACGTCTGAGGAACCTTTTCAGTGAGGATAGTGATGAAGACGGCAAATGACAGGAAACTAGTGATAGAAAAAGAAATTCTCTCCCCTGATTCGACCGGAAGTAGAAAGACCACCATATTTATTGACAAAAGAAAAAGAACCGGCAAAAATAGATTGACAATGAGGAAGGAAGATTTTCTTTTCATCTCCAGTTTAATTTCCATCGCTTTGTCAGTCATCATAGTGTCTAGAATTGATATCGCCCACTGTCCATTCTCAGTAAATGTATGCATTGTCGCTGTGGGTTTAGCGAGTTGCAGTTTAACTTCATAACCTTCATACTTGAGAACAGACAAGGTCAGCGAACAGTGATGGACATCAAAAGGATAATACGTCACATCCGGTTCACACATGATTTTTATCAGCCCATTAATCTGTAAATTAATAAATCCGTGATTTGTAGCCGGTACTGTAAATCCTGCTACCTCAATCTCCATGAATGCTTCACTTTCTGCCGGATTTCGCACACCGATGTTTGGGATCCAAATTTCATCAATCGGCAGTCTGGCGGCCGTTGCATTACCATAATCGCTTGGATTCCAAAAGATAGACTCGTCTTTCCAGGATAACTTAAGTCCACCATTGAAGGCAAAAAGACCACTGACTTCATTGTATTCTTGAATAGTGTGAAACTTGAAGGAAATTTTTACAATCAGTGGCTGATCTTGGTTTAATACTGGCCTTAAAGTTTTTTTGTATCCATTTAACAATTTGTCTTGTAGTGTTTTTTGTTGTTGGAGAGTCGAGAACTTTGGAGTTTTTGCTCCGAATACAATACATTGTGAAAAATATATAAATCCCAAAACTATACACCAGGTCCGATACATTGTCTTGACAACTACTTAATATACTTTAAATTTCCAATACAACTTTTAAGTATACGGTTGTAGCTTTTGATCTTCCAAAAATCAATCTAGTCCGACCAATTATCAGTTATCAGTTGCAAATTAATGATGATGCCTTTTAAAAGCAGAGCATTAATATTTAATGATTTTGATAATCATTCTATATGTTATGTGCTCTTGATTTGTCAGATGTCCCAATGGGCCTTGTAATAGATAGATATATCTATTAATAGATAATAGATAGATAGATATATAGATATAGAGTCACTCTAGACTCTGTATCTAAAAATCTTAAATCAACCTCACTGCAAACATCGCTTCAGCTTTTAATTAAAGCATCGCTTTCGGGGTATTTCGTTATTAATTGACTAAAATATTTGAATGTTGAAGTCTGTACTTTATTATCAATGCTAGAGTTCTATCCACTAACATTATGATCTTCCTTTTTTCCAAATAACTCTGTTATTGTCAATATGATTAAGTCACTAGGTATGAGCTGTAATTTTGAAACGTTTAACGTGGTTTGGTTACAATTAAAGACTGCTTCCCACTACGTTGCGAATTCAGAGAGTGAAATTGGAAAGATTCATTTAATTATAAGTGACTTTAACACATATTTGAGGTTGAAATTTTCATAAAATTTCAGTGTAAAATCAAGTTTTGTGTTTTGCTAAAGCATATCACATTTACATTGTAGGTATTATAAAAACGTGTGGTGACGATTTTGTTTGACTCACCTCCTTGTACCTTCAAGGATTTAATTTTTTTTTATCTTTTATATTAAAGAAAAGTGGAAAATTATTGTGTATTTACTATTTGTCAAAAATCTTTAAACTTTATTCCAGAATATTCGGAGTAAAATTGCGTGAAAGAAATACCAACTCACCACAACTGTCATTTCCGTAAGTGATGAGTGCTAGCTGCAGAACTGTAGCGTTATAGTTTTATATGTTAGTCTTTAATCATACTAATATGACTAATTTATAAAACCATAAAGCAACAGCTCGGCAGCTATGATGACTGCATGGTAAACAAGGTCAAAGCGTGCGGTAAAACTTAAACACTAGTTCAGTAACAGAGCTCATGCCCTGTTACAAGCAAGTTTTCTGATGCAATGTTATGATAAATATCAATGTCAATCGATTCCATTGAATTTCGAGCTTTGTCATGCAAGTTCAATAAATAAAGGTTTTTAAATAATATATTTAATTAGAAAAAAAAATTACAAAACGGCAATCCAAATGTATCCAGGTCTCTGTAAATTTGAAAAAAAAAAAAAGAACACAAAAAAGCATCATTCATGGAGATTTTTTTTAGATGTAATAACATTTGGTATCTTTAAAAGTAAATTGTCAATTATTTAGGCATTTGGCTTTGTTTAGTGTTCTAAAACATAGTTTACAATATTTTAAAGACATTTTGGCCGAGAACTGTGATACTTTAAAATTTAGGACCGATGAACCATATGCATCCCTATTCATAATAATTATCATAATTTATGTACAATTGTCTTTTCTGTAGATCTGTTGGAAGTCTTATGCTTGTGGAAGGTTTTAGGCCAACAGTCACTTTTGATTGTTATTGTTATGAAACAGGGCAGATCTCGGAACACAACAGAGCTATATAAAATGTGAAAAATGCATAGCACAACCAGTCACATTGGAAACATTACAGAGCATTTAGATTTTAATATACATGTACAAGGAATATATTCTATGTGTTTGAGATTTTCTTTTTTTTTTTATTTATTTTTTTTTTTTTTTATTTTAAGCAAATCTTTCTACAAGAAAAGAGACACTGAAAGTTCTGTAGATCACTAAATTTTCGCAACACCTTATTTTTGCGAAATAGTCATTGACTCTTTCACGAATTGTTGTTTTTCCTCTATATAATCGTAAGGAATACTTTTAAACGCGAGAATGAAATTTTCGCGACCTCATTGTCTCGCGTAATTACGCGAAAATAAAGTTCTCGCGAATAAAATGTGATTTACAGTACTTACCTTCAAATGCATGCTTTACTAGTATTCCATATTTCTCGATCATACAATGCAAATGAATGTTATAATTTATAATCTTATAATTTATTTAACCGGGAAATATCTTTTTACATTGAATCATTAAATAATGCAAAGACAAAAAGATGCACTCTACGTTTCAAATGTAACATAGAAAATAAAAACGATGATAGGAAACAAAGTGGAACAAATAAAAATGAATAAGAACAATTTGTCAAAAGCATATGCAACTTCTTTCCAAGTGACTTTCTCGTCTACGATATCTTCACACGATCTGCGACGATCTTCAGCAGGTTTAATTTTGATGGCGACGACAGACAATGACTTTTTTTCGTGTGATTTTTGTCCCATAAATCTCACAAAAGCAACAGTGCAAGAAGAGATGACATCACATGACCTGTGGTATATATTTATTACGAGGACATTGCAGATTAAGATCATGGTGCTGTTTGCAAGTTGAAACGCAAAAATGATACTGAGGACAGAAAGCGGATTTGACGTCTGAGGAACCTTTTCAGTGAGGATTGTGATGAAGACGGCAAATGACAGGAAACTAGTGATAGAAAAAGAAATTCTCTCCCCTGATTCGACCGGAAGTAGAAAGACCACCATATTTATTGACAAAAGAAAAAGAACCGGTAAAAATAGGTTGACAATGAGAAAGGAAGATTTTCTTTTCATCTCCAGTTTAATTTCCATCGCTTTGTCAGTCATCATAGTGTCTAGAACAGATATCGCCCACTGTCCATTCTCAGTAAATGTATGCATTGCCTGTGCTGGTTTAGCGAGTTGCAGTTTAACTTCATAACTTTCATAGTTGAGAACCGCCAAAGTCAGAGAACAGTGATGGACATCAAAAGGATAATACGTCACATCCGGTTCACACATGATTTTTATCAGCCCCGAAATCTGTAAATTGATTAATCCGTGATTTGTAGCCGGTACTGTAAATCCTGCTATCTCAATCTCCATGAATTCTTCACTCTCTGCCGGATTTCGCACACCGATGTTTGGGATCCAAATTTCATCAATCGGCAGTCTGGCGGCCGTTGCATTACCATAATCGCTTGGATTCCAAAAGATAGACTCGTCTATCCACGATAAATTAAGTCCACCATTGAAGGCAAAAAGTCCGCTAACTTCATTGTAATCTTGAATAGTGTGAAACTTGAAGGAAACGTTTACAATCAGTGGCATATCTTGGTTTAATACTGGCCTTAAAGTCTTTTTGTATCCATTTAACATTTTGTCTTGTAGTGTTTTTTGTTGTTGAAGAGTCGAGAACTTTGGAGTTTCTGCTCCGAATACAATGCATTTTGAAAAATATATAAACCCCAAAACTATAAACCAGGTCGAACACATTGTTTCATTAATTACTTAATATACTGTTCCAATACAAGTTTTAAGTACAGCTGCAGCTTGATTTAGAGCGTCTAAAATCCTCCTAGTCCAGCCAAGATTTAGCTATCATTTGCATGCTGCCTTTTAAAATCAGAACATTAATATTTCATGATTTTGATAATCATTTTAAATGCCACGTGCTCTTGTTTTGTCAGATGTCCCAATGGGCTTTGTAATTGTGCTTCACTCAAGGCTCCGTATCTGAAAATCTTAAATCAACCTCAATGCAAACATCGCTTCAGCTTTTAATTAAAGCATCGCTTTCGGGTATTTCCTAATATATTTACTATAATATTTGAGTGTGGAAGTCCGTACTTTATAATCAATGCTAGAGTTCTATCCACAAACATTATGATCTTCCTTTTATCCATTAACTCTGTCATCGTCAAAATAATTACGTCACTTGGGATGATCTGTTATTTTGAAACGTCTAATGTGGTTTGGTAACACATGTACAATTAAAGACTGCTTTCCACTACGTTGCGAATTCAGAAAGTGAAATTGGAAAGATCTATTTATTTATAAGTGACTCGAACTGATATTTGAGGTTGAAATTTTCTTACAATTTCAGTGTAAAATCGTGTTCTTCGTTTTGCTGTAGCATTTCACACTTACATTTCATGTATTATAAAAGTGTGTTTTATAGAATTTAAATTTCCGATTTGAGAATGAGTTTGACTCATCTCCTTGCACTTTTAAGGATTTATTATTTTTTATCTTTTGTATCTAAGAAAAGTGGAAATTTATTGTGTATTTACTATTTATCAAAAATCTTCAAACTATACTCACTACTATTATCATCACCGTCTGTGATGAGTACATGGTAAGTAAATTCAACACGTCCGGTAAAACTTTAGGATAAATAATACGAACAAACGTTTTTTTCAGAAATCAGCAATATTTCTCACAGATTTACATTTAAATTGGTAACCAGAATAATGTTTACCGAGTAAAATGGGAGAATTGTGTAAGATTTGGTCACAAGTTTAAAAATTTGTGCAAAATTTTGTATTGAAATATATAGAAAGCAAAACAAAGTCTCATATCTAAACATCAGGGGAAAACCTACGATTTCTTTATATTTCATGGATTTATTATTTATGTCATTTCAAATCAAAATCAGTCAAAAAATATATCTCAATCCAGGCATTCATTTTTTTTGTTTGTGTCAAGTACCCTTAACATTAGTTCAATAACAGAGCTCATGCCCTGTTGAAAGCAAGATGTTTGATGCAATGTTAAGATAAATGTTTCACGAGGTACTGTATCAATAAAGTAGTATACAAGTTGAAGTAAAAACAAGCATGGCTTTTTGCCATGGCTTCCACTTTATTAAACACGTGACAAGGGGAGGTGGTATTGTACAATGATAATTATGATCAGAGAGTAGTCATTAATTAATACAGAATACTGTTACAATAAATAGCAATGTCAATCGATTTTATTGAATTTTGAGCATTGCCATGCAAGTTCAATATTAAAGATTTTTAAAGACTGTATGCAGGGAAAATTTCGCCCCTTTTGCCCTACCTTCATTTGGGCGAATTTAAAACGAGGTGAATGCAAAGAGTACAGAATAATTTATTAAAACAGAATTATGACTGGACGAATTTAAAACGGGGCAAAGATGTTTTTTTTTAAATGTGAAAGGGCGAAAATAAGTTTAATAACACGGAGCGAAAATAACCCTGTAAGCAGTAATATATAAAAAGAAATGAATTAACAAACCGGCAATGCAAGTGTATACAGGTCCCTACAAGTCTGAAAATACAATAATGTTCTTCATTCATGAAGATTTTTTTAACTGCATAAACATTTGATATCATAAAAAGAAAATTGTATTCTTTAGGTATTTGGAATTGGTTGATAAAAATAAACATTAGACTATTTTTGGTAGCTAGCTAACTTAGTCTTAAATAATTCATCCAACATGGGCTTAAAGATATTTCCTTTAGTAATTCTTATTTCAGATTAAACCTTATTTCATCAAAATTTTTCTTCAGACCATATAAATTTACTGTTTCAGAACCCTTTTGATTTCATACAGGTTTCAGTTAATTTTATTATTTTTCTTTAGTTAGAACTGCCGGGTAAAATTTTGTATATTAATTATTTTCAAATTTAAGAGAAAAGGACAGTAGAAATCGGATTCGGTGAATCAGTTTGTTTTTTTTTTGGGGGGGGGGGGGTTATCAAGTTTTGCATTTACTAAAAACTAAAAGCAATAAAATATTCACAGGGCTGTAATCATATTCTGCTGTAAATTACAATACCATATTCCATGCTGATTAATTAGCCGGCATTTTTGGCAAATCTTAATTAGATAATTAGCTGAATTTTTATATTATTCGTGATATCTTCGACAACGTATGTCGAGTATGTTGAATCTCAGCTATAAAACGGAACCTCTGTCCATAGCCTTTAGTATAAAAAAATATATATGTATATTTTCCGAAAAAATCTTCCGAATGCAAAGCAAATTAAATGTGGATAATGAGTATCAATTTAAAGTACACTAAATGAGAGTACTGTACCATTCGATTTCGTTGCTAAAAATTATCTTCGACGTAATTTGGTGTTTGAAGTAGAAAGTTAACATGACATCAACATGGTAACCTTGATCTTCATTTTCCAGTGAATGAAAGAATATTCATTAATATAAATATGAAAACTCTCTTTTTGTACAACGCTCTTAATAAGCACAAATTGAATCTATGTGATTAACATCAACTCGTGCAACTCGATATAAATGAGAAGAAAAAAACCAACATCCTTTTAGTAAATTCAGTTCATAAAATTAATTTATATATAGTTTTTAAATACAAATAAAAATTCAAAATTGTTAACAAAATGAAAACTGTATCCAGATCCCTTAAAATCTGTAAAACACAAAATTGTTCGTAATTTGTAGATGCAGACATTTGTAGATGGAATATCATTTGGTATCTTTTCAAGAAAATTATATTCGTCTCGGCATTGGGTCTTGGTTAATAGAAATAAAATTAGACAAGGTTTGAATAGCTAGCTGAGCTTACGCGCATTTTATATAAAGATATATCTTATTTTCACAATTTTTCTTTAGATAAAAATACTTATTGTTTCAGAAATCTTGGCTCTATACAGTTGTTGAAGAATTCTTAAGCAATTAATTTTTGTTTTCAATTGTCAGGTAATTTTTTTTTGTTGAAAGGTGTGTTATTTATGCAATTATTTGTTGAGATTGTTCTATGTGAATCTGTGCGAGTCAGGTTGTGTGGAAGACTGTGTGAGTGTGTGTGTGTATTCACGTACTGTAATATATATATTTTCATTGTATTTGTAACATTGATAGTTGTACAGAGGGGGCATTTAGAGGCATTGTATGCCTGCTGCCCAATCTATTAAATATTGTTTAAATCAAAACTCGTCATGAGTCGTGATCTCTGCGACAACATATCTCGAGTCTGTTGAATTTTAACCATAAAATGGTACCTGTGTCCACAACCTAAGAATTAAAAGAATACAGTGAAGCTTCCGAATGCAAAACAAATGAAATAATATGAGGATAACGCACATCATTTTTAAGTCTTCATGTAGAAGTACAATATAAACAAGTATAACTGGAATTCGGTGATAAAAATATCTTTAATGTTTAGTTGATAAAATGTGAACATGACATAAACGTGCTACAGGTAGCCTTGATCTTCAATTTTACATATTTAATAATAAATATAAAAACTTAAACTCTTCCGTGCAAAACACTTCATAATCAAAAATTGCATGTATGTGATTAACATTAAATCGTGAAATTCGATAAATTTAGAAAATAAAAAGACATTTTTCGGTGTAAATCGATCTTGCAAGTTTAAACTTTAACATTAGATAACACATAGATTGAATCGTTATGATGGCTTTGATCTTCCAATTGACATTTAGAAAGTCATAATCAAAAGGCATTCACAATACTTTATCAATATTGTAACTGCTAAATAAATATACCAGCACGCACAAACAATACCCAGATACAAAGGTTGATCCAAAAGTAGTGTCACAACTGTTATAAAATATTTAATTGTTTTATGTGATAAATACAACATTACATAGAAATATCCATTTCTATTTCGACTTTCGTTATAAAAATTTCATTCATTACATGTACATGTATCTGCTATACATTTACAAAAATTATAATAAACACAACGGCCCCATCTTTAATTTTGCCAGGCGAATATATAAAGAAACAGTTCGAAAAGTTCGTTGACTCCTGTCATATCTTTTTTATTTCACGTCATATGCTATCCAAATTTGGTAGAAATATTTTAACACAAAATTCAAATGATTTGTAATCAACATTTTAAAATTATCATGATTTATTTCAAACCTATCCAAAATTAAAAACTTTAAAAAATGGACCGCAGAGCAAGTAAAAATTGAATAATTCACAAACAAAACACTGAATAAACTTAATAATGTTTGTATTCATATTCTCTGTAAAATGGAATGAAAACAAAAATAAATCCTAGACTTTTAAATTGAGATTTGTTCAATTGATTCACATTCCAAATCATGGCTTAACATTTTGCTTCGTTTGAAAGAAATCAGTTTGAGAAGATAGGCAGTTCTGATTGAAAGCGACAAAATGATGACGTTGTTGAACGTCACGGAACAGCAGATATTTTTCGTAGATATCGTTGCAATTGTGTGTTATACTATAGGGAAACTCCTGAGTAAACGGTAAAAATGTTAAAGGAATAAAAAAAATTCGCAATTAAGTCGAGCATGTGTTTATAAATTGTACAGGCGGTAAAGAAACTGTATCGGACGAGGAAAATCAGTGAAGAAACGGTTTATCTGGTAAAATCTGAACAAATACTCTAAAAAGTTTAACGTCAAGTTAATACATAGGCGTTTCAGAGTTGCTTATCCAGAGTTGAGTAATAAAAAAAATTAAAACATGAGCAAAGGAAATTATACAAGGAGAACAAATGTCAAAAAATAATTGTCGATAACTAGAAAAGGTTTTATTAATGAGTGGGTATTGGATTATATTGTGTGAAATGTAGTGAGATACTAGTAACAGGCACGTAGCAACAGGGAGTGGGGGGGCAGCCAATTTTTTTCCCAACCTTACTTTTGCTATAGGAAATTTAATCGAAAGGTTGGTTGGCCCCCAGGAAATTGATTTCAGGGAAATGTAGTATTGAATGCAAAAAATCTGGTACTGAAAGAGAAGTTGACATTGAAAAAGGGACTCTACTCCCCCCCCCCCTTTTACAAGTAGAATTTTCGAGTTTGGACTATTTTATTTTTGCTTTTCAAGTTTTTAGGTGAGTCAAAAAAAAATTCCTCTGGCTGCCCCCCCCCCCCACTTTCAAAAACGATGCTACGTGGCTGAGTAGTATTTTTGAGAAATTTTTGACGCTATATTATGACGTTACATTGCTGTGTAGTGTGCTCCGCAGGTACAAAACATGTTGATTTTAAAATGAAGTAAATTGATTTCTGTTAAATCGAATGGAATGAAACTTGACACATCAACAAAACAAATATTTTTTACATATTTTCTTGCGCTTATTTTAAATTTTTGAAAGTGGTATAACGAAGATTGACATCGTCCACGAACTTTTAGAACAACCCTTGTATATTTCTTGTAATAAATGAAGACTTTCCCTTGAGAACGATATTTAGCTTTACCCTAAATTTATGAATGATTGCTGGAGGGACTTTTAAGATTCACTTCCTTTATATTTGTTGTGACAGGTCCTTCTCTTGAATACTATTTTTTTTTACCTTTTCACCCTCACCTTGACGTTTTACTTGCATAAATTGAGAAACTTTTACAAAGGCATCAAGAATTCACAAAGTTAAACACATTTTCAATTTGTTCAAAAATCATGATATTTTTTCTAAGACAAAAAAACGAATCTTCCCAAAATTTAAAGATGATTTTATTTCGATCAAGATTAAAATTTGAAAAGATTGGTTAATATCTTAATTTGAATTCTCTGATATCATCATTAATTTGGTAATTCTGATATTTACAAGAATTTTTTTTGAGTTACAGTTCTTATATGTGTAAAACATGAAAAACTTATCAAAAAGTTTTAAGACAAATGTGAAAAAAAAAATCCAATGCCACAATATCTTGGCAACAGAACATTACTGCGTATATAAAAATACTTGTTTATCACACAACTTTTCAGCAGGCATACTTAGTCAAGTGGATACTTCGTTTAATAAAACATGTGATTTACCTCCACAATTGGCACATCCGTGCTGTCTCCACTGACGCAATCCTGCAACTTTTACACCCGCGGGGTGGTGTGTTTAGGGAAGAAAGAGAAATAAAGACGCTTAAATTTCTTAGAGGGAGGAATTTTGAAAAAAATCAATACCTGACAAAGAAAGATAACTCCTTTCAACAAATGTACTTTCTATATATAAACAAAAACATACAAACGTGTGGGATAATACATTTTATTCAGATTTGATTCGTCATTATAATTTCTTAATAAAAAAAACTCTTAAAATAGAAGAAAAAAATAATTCCTATCTCTATACTAAGAACATGAAGAATCGCCTTAGACATATATTGTTATTTTACATACGGTAAAATCGTGCAGGCGTAGTCGTGTGGATACTTCGTTTAAATGAAACATTTGACTTACCTTCAAACTCGACGGGAGACCGTTAGCTTCCACTGACGCTTCCCTGCACTTTTGCACCCGCTCTGACGTCATCATTTTATAGAATCCATCGTATCGTAAAAAATTAAAACATATTGCCGAATTAATTGAAAATGTGTTGTCTTATGTAAACAAATCAAGAAAGATAACTTGTGTTTGTGGTTCTCGTCGACATTCAAGGCAATGTCTCGTTTATCTTCTTTGTACATCTGGACTGCCCATTTTTTTTTTTTTTTTTTTTTTTTTTTTCGTTTTTACATGACATTGTATTCTATGATTTGAATTTTGGATATAAATTTTGCATAATTTTTGATTTAGCTATTTGCATGGTATTACGTAATATTCAACATTTACTGTCTATTATCCCATTGTATTCTAGTACTGTATACAGGGAAATTTTCGTTTTAATACTAGTATAATTTCTTAAACAAAACTATACTGGGCGAATTTTGTGTATTTTATATTGTAATGTTTTGAACATATTTATAAAATTTTTCAATCAAAAGAATTCTTCTCCAAATAAATAACAATATGTCATGCATGTAATACACTAAAATGTAATATTTTCAAAGTGATGTAAGTGTTTGTTTCTATTATTATCGATAATAAGGTTTCTATAATATCCATTCTTTTACTGGCGCCCTTTTTTTATATTAAATGACTAAAAATTCCTGTATTTTTGTGTTCACTTTCAATATAATTTCTTAGAATATATTAATTTCACTAAGAATTCAGTGAAAGAATCATGTACATTGTGTTGTTAATTAGATTTTATGCATCGTCCATTTTATTTGACGTAAAAATAGCTACAGCTCCAAGAAAAGTGAAATACTTAAAATTTTTAACAATCGACCTCATTCGACTCCAACTGAAGACTTTTTTTTAACTCTGTATTTACGGAAATCCATGCTTTAAAAGGAATTTTTATTTTGCTACAAATGTATGATATATTTTATTTATTTATCTATTTATTTATTTCAGATTTTTGTGTCACTTCTATTCATTACTTGATGTAATAATTCACTGCTTCATGAAAATCATACAGCATTTTCATTGAAGTCTTGAGATGTGTCATTTAATCAATGAAACATGTTATTGAACTTCCATACCGTGTTCACAAGTTCACCATGCTGCTATTTAAATTCCTTATTTTAAATAGTTTGTGATTATGCAGGCGTAGTCGTGTGGATACTTCGTACACATAAAAATAATAAAATTGAAAAAACCCGCGGGTAACCGCTCGTCTCTACTGACGCAGCCCTGCATTTTTACACCCGCATACCATTGATAAACGATCTTACTGATTGTTAAAACAATGAATGTATTCATTATAACGAAGAAAGGGAAAGATCTGGTGTGAGAAAGAGAGAGAGAGAGTGAGAGAGAGAAAGAAACTTACATGTACATGTTTACGTAAGTGCCTTTTTGTCGGAACTGTTTTTGCCTTTTTAACTTAGCGCAAAACGTTTAATACAAGGGGCGAAGGTTACTTTTGTTATGTTCCCCAAACGAAGTTGGGGAACATATTGTTTTTGTTTGTTTTTTAAATTAATTTAACGGTTAACTTAAACTAACTTTTTTTACTTTTCATCGCATTTTTGCAACGATTTGTTTTTTTTTCTAATTTTGCCATATTCATTTATTTTTTTCTGATTTAAAAATTATTGGAACAACTGAGAGAAGGATTGAAGTATGAAGAAAACAGCGTATAAATTTTTTTGTTTCTCAACACTTTTTTTTAAATATGAATGAATTTCACATGTAATTTAATTTTTTAAAACAAAATCTGCAATTTAATACTCATTTTAAACCTCACAATGAAAATTTTATCATATGTTTCATAAATGCAAACTACAAATAAAAATGATGAAATTTTCTTGATGTCTCATTCTTTTTTATCCCTTTATTTCATTCCTTCACGATATACAGTGTACCGGTATTACATGTGATCATCACATACATATAGAATGTTATTCCAATATGTCACGAGGACAAAGCATGATTATAAAGTGAATTTCAAAAAAAAAAAATCGTATATCTTCTTCCCTCATACCCCAGGAGATATCTTTTCTCACGTCTTTAACTGTTCCTGGTTCATGCTAATATCACATTTCCCCGTGTTAATTACATTTCTAATGATGATCAATTTCCTATTGATGATGGTCACAGGAGCATTAGCTTACGTTAATCAAGGATGAACGCGGGACTTTAAATCGTGTTTAAATCATTTCATTTTCAACGCGTACGGGTTTTTCCGAAACTTATTTTGAAAATAAAATTTTATGTTTCATAAAATATTTTATATACAATCTTTTTTACATTGTTTGACAAAGATAAAATTACAGTTGTTCTTCATATTATGGGATTTATTATTATTAGTGGAAAAGTTGTGAATATAAATAGAGTATGTAAAGTTGGCAAAATTTCAACATTATCCAGCATTGTCTATAAATAACCTATATAAATGTTTACGTATTCGGTTAAAATTATACTAGATCGGCGAACGGACTTGGGTTTTCCCATGCCTTTACCTGGTTGATATAAATAGAATTTTAAGCCAGGTATTGGATTAAAACAAGGAAGTTTTATTCTTAAGAGTGGATTTCTAGACAGATGAGACAAAACATTGTGTATGTTCAATCGGAACGGATGTGTGTGGACAGTTAAAAAAATATATACAAGGATTCTCATCAAGACGAGAAAAATTAACTCAATTGTGAATCGAAATAGGTAAGTGTCTGTTGTTACGGTGCAGTTTACTTAATACCTTTCAGTTTTTAGGATATTAAAACTTTCTAAACGTCTACTAGGATGCAACTTCAGGTGTGCATTTTAAATGTACATATTGATGACTATTAAACGTATTAAATGAAAGAATTAGAATGAAACAATGCCATTGTGTTTTTCCATTACCCCTCCCCAATCTCCCTTCATCTTCCCAAATCTTGAAATTATAAACATCAGGTAACATTTCTGCAGAAAAAAATATTAGTCTAAGGAGATGAGATTTTTGCACTTCTAATATATTGGATCTTATAAATAGTCTCTTTTTGAGGGATTTAAACAACTTGAATTGCGTTCTTAAGAACAATTAACACAAAGGTTTCATATATATTTTTTATTCACGTAACTGTTTGTTTAATATAAAGAGACGAAATACGCATTGAACCAAGCCTTTCCCTCATTGTGTCTACTAGCATGTAAAAGATAAATCATGCTGTAAGAATTTAAAACTACATTAAGTAAATTTCCAGCAGATCAATAAGAGATAAATTCAACGAAGCGAGAAACCATGACCGTCTATGGTTTGGTCAGAGGGGGGTCATAAATGACCGCAATCATCCAGCATGTAATAATATTGTAGTGCGATCTCCTAGATAAAAACAAATATTAATGGAGTTGTCTGTGAACAGTCATAATAACGAGATACTTATATGGAGGGATGCGTAAGAAGGATGGGACTTATAAATTGTTTCGCCAACTCTCAATGAGCCTTTATTATTCAGAGTCTCCATAAGTATGTTACATATATATACTACTTTAGTCTTCACATGTGTACATCTTTAATTATGTATTATTTAGGTAGGTGTGTGGATGAGATACAAACTAACTTTAAGCTTTAATGTTATCGAGAGATACTTTGAAAAACTTCCCCCTAGTTGATTTAATTATCAATGGACCCCTTTACAAAATGCCAGATCTTGCTCGCTTGAATTTCCTGCAGAGCAGGAATTATTTCGATATTCTATATGTATATGTGTATATATTTTTCACTACGCTACAGATGAATCATTGTTAGAGTCACGAGAAGACAGTAAATGTGTGTGTGTGATTTGTGAATTCATGTTTGGATTTAAGTTGTGTTTTATTCTTACTATAGATATGCACCATGATTGAAGCGGTGGCACTATATTTTGTGTCGGAAGACTGTGGCCCATGGGCAAATTTCCTGAAGACAAAATTGGGAGAAAAAGCATACGACATTCGTGTCCAAGATATTGAGGCTTCTAGTGTATCAGAAGATCGAGAAAACTTTAAAGCTAACATAATCTTGGTGAGCCCAGCTTTTCTGGAGTTGCCAACTTTTGAACATTATTGCTCGTTTTCGGACAAACAATCATTGGTTGTGTTGCTTGGAGTTGATGAACAAGAGTTTGAAGAAACCATAAAATCAAAAGGAGCTGAAAACATCTTGGGATTTCCTTTATTTGAAACCGAGGCAAACGAGAGTTCAGTGAGATGTCTATTGGTAGAAATTATAGATCTTTATGAAAGAAATGTTGCTCTTGAGGAACTTGTGCAGCCCCATCCCATCCCTGGTCATTTGTCAAAGACGAGAGAAAGTGACAATAGTTTTGATAGTGAATGCGATTATTATGACTATCCCCCGCCCCCCAGACTACTACCTAACCTTCAATTACCCTCGGCAAACGAACTGCAAAAGTTCATCTACAGCGAGAAGGTAAATCTTATAGATAACACGATAGATTATATTTCTTTAATGGAATCTGTATTAGAAGCTAATGGTGGATTAAGAGGTGGCTGCTTGTGGAGGGGGTGTAACAAATTTTGTTACAAAAATATACATATAAGGATTAAGAAATCAATTTGTTGTAATAGAGTATTGCATTTATTATAAGAGATTCTGGATCCACCACTAAAAGCTTTCAACTTTAAATCTGTCTACACAAAATTATTCGTTATAATTATATGGGTTAAAGAAAGGTTAAAAAAAACAAGAATTTTATCGTTGGACTCATCAATATTTGATTCAAACCCAAGTTTGATGCAAACCAATTTTTGATTCAAACATAAGAGTAACATGTTGCAATGATCCGATGTAACAATTTGCACCAATTGCACTTAAATAATTGAACGTTGTGCGAACGAAGTTGTATCGACTTATTTGACTATATGTTGGATAAACTTTTACTCTGTGTTTAAAAAAGGGATAAGGTATGATTTCCTACTTTTATATGAACAATTTACACTCCCTAACTGATAGTCAGATTAGATTGCTCAAAGATTCGTTTTTAGCGTGTCAGATTGAATTCTTGTAAATTATTGCACAATTAGCAAAATTTAAAACTTGAATATGACCAAAAGTTGATTTTTTTTTATTTAATTGAATAATAAGTGCGTGTTATTTTAATATTATTAGTTGTGTGTTAAATCAAATAACGTTATCATATTTTGCTTTATTTTTGTTTACTTGCCTAATTTTGTTTACTTAACTTTATTTACCTAACTTTACTTTTTCCCTTTTATTTCCTCAAGGACAGCAAACTATATCTACTTATGGAAAGAAAAGACGAGGAAAATATTCTCGTACAGGACGAAAATAGACCTGATACTTGCGTTCAAAGCAAATACCTGGGCAAAGCTTTATATGAAGCTTCCTTAACAGGTACAGGACCAATTGGCAATTTTACCTTATCAACATCTCAGGTTTTCGTGCAACAGAAAGCAGACATGCCTTAGTAGACAGCATGATTATCTAATTAAAACAAGTGCAACACTAACACGAAAGAGGAAGAAAAGCAAAAAAGATGAAAATGTATTGGAAGAATGTGTAAAGATATCTTAAAAACTAGCATTTAACCTGTATTTGACACTACACGAAGTAAAGGAAAATATTTTCTGTATTGGGTTTCCCTTGCACTAAGATTAAGCTGGTACTGAAATCTAATAATGAATGACACATTATAACCTTTCATGCCCGACTGAAAGTGACCGGTTTGGGTTGAAAAGGTTTATTCGTGATGAACAATACCAACCTTATTTTTTCTTATCGCTTTTTCTTCCCCTCAAATACTTCCGCATTGAGTCAGCCCCTGTGGAAGTTAATAAAAAATACACAAGGTCACATTGGTAGACGTCGAAACAATAGTATGATGTATGTAAAAAATGAACGAATTTACAAAATTAAATTGCGCAGTATTGTTAAAGGAGAATGAGGCCCTTTATATAAAACCACCTGTTATCTTTCAATGATGCCAACATTATATACTACTACTACTTCTTCTTTGTGAAAAACTTTGCGCTCTATTGACTGAAAGATGATATTTGAAATTGAATAAAGTGCTGTTTATTTTAAATCATTTATTGAACAATCACTTAAACTGCCACGATCGATGTTTAAATGCTTATAAATTTCTATAAAGTATAGGTTGAAACTTGATATAATAGGTAAAAATACACATGGTTTCTTTTAAAAAAAAAATCCAAAAGAATTATGAGCACTACTGCCCTGATATCTTATTCTAAACTCCTTTAAAAAATACCTTTAATATTTTTAAAATAATGTATTTAATATTTTAAATATCTTTAATTTTTTTTTCAATTTTGTATGCTAATGACATTTTTTTCTCAAATACAGATGATTTCGATAAGACACATGGCCTCAAAATAGTGACAACAAAGAGGAGGAATGTAGAGACAATTCGAATTGAACCGTCATCTAAATCAGCATCACGTGATAAACTTTCTCAAATTCAGCAGCTGCTCAATGAGGAGTTAGAACCATTAACGGTTCTATGCAAAGCTTTAAGACTGCCTGAAATATCACGCTCTTGTCTCGACTCGTTTTTGGCGGAAAAGTGTTCGAACTTTAAAATGTTTGATACCCTGAAGAGTTTGTCTTTAGAAGAAAATCTTGGTGAAAAACGTAAGAATATTCACATTTAATGAAAAAAAAATCATTTACATAGTTAATCTTTTATAAAAATTAAAATTAGATTATAAAAATTACCTTTAATCCTTGTGATGCCTTCCACTAACTCGAATATTGAAATTTCTAGAACTATGTTTGCAGATTTGGAAGGAAGCAATTGGCCCACGTTGTTGCATTTTGGTGCTGAGTTTGGACTAAATTCGTTTTGTGATGAACTATTACGGGTTCCAGGGATGGACAAACTTTGTCACGTGACCAATGCTCAGGACGAGGCACCTGGTCAGTTGGCTCGAAATCGCGGCTTCCTACAATTAGCTGAAAAACTGGACATGCTTACCGTAACCCAAAGAGATAAGCGTTAGTGCCTGCTTAAAAATAGCTTGCTGTCATTTCAAAGCTTGTTCAAGTGCTGAAATTAATCACTTACCAAAGATAATAAGGATAGAATGTAAAATACCTTCTTTTTTTGTAGGAAACTCGCCAGCAAATAAGGATAGCGGCATTAGTGACATGCACACTTCTGCCTATAGTCAAGTTTCTGATACAAGTTCGTGTGAGTGAAAAAAAAAAATTATCAAGTTTAAATTTATTTTTTTAAAACATAAATGTAATTTTATTTGATACATGCTAATATTTTTGTTATTTTTTTCTAATTAGATGCTCCCTCGCATCGAGCAGTCGATAGTCTATTGGAGGACGAAACGTATCAAATGCCTCCTCCGACACCCCACCAACACCCTCAGCAATATTACATAAATTCCAACCCGATATCGAAAACATCAGAATCCCCGCCCCCACCTCCCCCAAAGATTAAAAACTCGCCGCTGCCTTGTCGACCTCCACCTGCCATAGAAAGAATGTCTATAGACTCTATGACTTCCATAGACTCTAGGACTTCCGTGGATTCTAGAACTACCATAGATTCAGTAACGACCGTAGACTCAAGCACTACCTTGGACTCCTCAAGCATCTCGCCGAATTCACGAAATTCCATTCAATCTTGCTCGTCTTCCGGAAGTGACGCTACAATAGCAGACTATGTTGACATGGCCTCGACTTCATCTTCTTACATGGACATGAGCTCAGTGCAGAGAACCAATAGTAGAACACTGTCTAAACCTCCTGCAGTTCTTCCCAAGCCGAGGTCGTCTGATTCCAGTTCAGGGTACGGCGTTACGTCCGATGAATCGTCAGATAGGGGATCAGAGTACATGCCGATGAGTGAGGTACCTCCTCATATCAAGCCACCTCATCCAGAATCTACACTACACAAGCAGGTGTCTGCAGAAGATGACTATATGAGTCCCAGCGAAGCCAAGACAGGTGAGGTTTTTTTCTGGATTTCTACTTATTAAGTATTTGACTAATAAAGGTATATGGGTTTAGCTTTATGTTAATATTTTTTTAATTTTCCATCCTTTCAGGTCCCAAACATCATCCAACCTCATTACCACTAGCAGAATCTCATAAGTTTCATCCAACATCTAACATAAAACGCGAGGTTTCAGACCATTGGTCTATTCCACCTGGTGAGTTTTCCTTTTTTGATCCAATATTTTCTTACAAATTATACAGATAACTAATTACACGATGCCAAGAGAGCTAAGAAATAAAGTAATAAAATGTTGATCTTTTATAACAGAAATTCCAGAGCATCAAACCAAAAGGTCTGGAGATCCTGCCTTACCCCTTTCACATCAAAACAGAAGCATGTCAGAGGGGGATAATCGGTCTCATTTTGCGGGACGCATAGGTATTTCCGTTCACGTGATGTTTCTTTTGTCCTTGACCTATTTTTGTATTGTTTTGGATTTTAGCTTTGAATCAAATACAATGTTGACGATGACAAAATTTAATATATCTATAATCTTCTATGTCAAGGGTCTCCTTTGTCACCGAGCACGCCGGAAACAGTGTTTGAGAAAGGTCACCCAGTGCTTCATCGACAAGGAAGGGACAGAAGCGCTAGTGCTTCCCGGAAGGGTAGCTCAGATGATGATATGGCGATGGTAATTTGCTTCATCTTGATACTTATACAAAACTCTCTAACACTTTACTACTTTTTTTGCTTAAATGCATATTTTATAGTGTTTAGTTTTTGGTTTTTATTGCATGAAAATAAATTGAATTTATTGTCAGCTTAAATTTTAAAGTTCACTTCTCCTTTGATCTTGAAGAACCAGCGTCAGCAGTCTAAGGGATTCTTCAGTAAGCTGAAAAATAAAATGGGAGGAGGAAGAAAAATGTCATGTCCACCAGAAGCAATAAAAGAAAGTCTAGATCAATATGTAAGTTACACTTCAGTGGGTCAGACATTAATTGAGAGATGGCTTTAATTTACAGGCCAAAATCGCATTGAGACAAGCAAAGAGGTGCTCGATTAATTAGAAAGTAAGAGCTAGCAAATACTGAGATAAATAAAAAGAGATTTAACTTACTGCTCATTGGAACAAACAGAAGAATGAAGAGTTAAAATAATAAACTGCTGAGAGTCAAAATCGATTATTTGTTACCAATCGTTAGGCTTTTGTTTCATACTGATTTTAAATATGGGATGTCCTGTCTACCTTATCAATACATATGGTTCATTTAAACAATAAAATGCTTTCTTTGTTATTACTGGAATTAACGGAAGCAGCTGTTGCAGAAAAAATACATAACCCGCGTTATTTTAGCGACAAAATTGAAATTTTGAAAAAAATTGTTTAATTTGTATTATAACTTCAAAAGAATAACAAAAAAAAATGTTTCATCTGTTGGGAAGTTTAAAAGCATTGAAGGAACTGCACGGAAAAAAATATCTGTTACAAACTGTCGATCATTATTTAACAATCTCTATAGAGATGCAAATGTGTCCATGTCAGAAACCTAATTATATATTGCTTATCTGTTATTAGTTTTAAAAAATCCCAGCTAATTTATGTCTCTCTAAGCCTAAGCTGTTTATTTAGTAGAGATGATAAGTATGCTATCATAATTGTGTTCTTCCTTATTTTAGCATAAGAGAAATCAACAACAATTAAAGTCCAGACCCTCAGAGGAAAACAGGGACTCTAATATTAGTACTTCTAGCTCTTCCAGTAAGTACTGTCTCACCGAGATAATCAAGTGCATCAAAGTTGTTTTTACTTTTATCATTAATTTGATTTATTATTAAGTATAATCAATAATTATGACTCATTTTTTTTTCGAATTCGATTGCCGATCAAGATATATTTTGTGTTAGCTAGTATAAATCTTAATTTAAAAGCAAGTAAAATGATGCTTTGAATTTTAAACTAAATTGTTAATTGTTCCAATTTTCATTTTCTTAGGTCATGAAGGTCAAAATCCAGATGAAAATGTTACTGGAGAGGTATGTTTCAATATATTCAATATTTCTAGAAACACTATGTTCAAAATATATGTATTTTTATCTAAAAAGAAAGTCCGGTTTCTCTATGTCAGTCAATTTTTCTTTTTAAATTATGTCAAGGAAATGCAATTGTGGAAATTCTAAAACAAAACATGATCGCTTTCCTTAAAAATTCCCAAACAGGGTTAAACACAGATTACGTGTGACTAAAATTTGCTGTCTTTGCAGTACATGAGTTATATATAAAAATTCTGTTTCCTTCACTTCCAAGAAAACAATAGCTTTGAAAACAAAAAAAATTACGTCTCATTTAATTACATAATATTCTGTTGTGTAAAGATTAGACATTAAAGTTTTTCAGAATGTAATCAAAATTAACATTCATTTTAGGATCAGCCTGATGAGCCAGTTAGACAGAGAAAGCCCAAGAAAACACTCTTTGGAGGAAAAAATAAAGACAATAGAAACGATGTGGTGAGAACATTTTGGCATCTTTTTTTCCAACACTTCACAACTTATTCAAGCATTGTAAGCATGTCTTCCCCAATAAGGAAAGAACAAAAAATGGATTGAGAGCAGTAACGACAAGACTATGCACCTTTATTCCCCCCCCTCCCCATTTTTTAAGAGAAATCACAATGAGAGATAAGAAAAAGCCTTTTTTGTCTTTTTGAGAGTAGACAAATACAGATATCTCAGATACCGGAAACAATTTGATATTTATCTCAGTAGGATTAGATTTACTTCCTCTTCCGGTACATTAATTAAACTTCCTGGATATAAATACATTTCGTAGTGTTAATCAGAACACACAAGAAAGGACTGTAACTTACAAACTTCATTACTATTATTATTATTATGATTATATAGTCAAGGAAAGTTGAGTTACAACGTAAACTTTTCTGTTCATTTCAGAGGAGAAAATCAGTGAGAATTGATAAAATGAAGAAGGACAAAAATCTACAATTGTTGGAACTTCCTACAAAAAGAAAATAACATACAGTCATTCTACAAATCTCAAAAAGTGCAATATTTTTACAAACAACATTTTGCAATTTTAAAAAAGACATTTTTGTCTATATTTATACTTTTTTAAAATGTAAATATGCAATGCATGCAGAAATGAGTCAATTTGTTTAGTATTTGTCTAATTATTTTTACTTGTACATATGTTGTAAATTTCATTCATTCTGTCTGTTTATGTCCATATCGATTTTTTGTCTTTTTTCTACAACGCATTAACTTTTGCAGTATTCATGACAACGTTTTAATGATTAATTGCATTACCCCATTTACATGTGAATTCAGTCATTTTTTTTATTTTCTGTGACATTTTTTGAGAGTTGTAATTAGTAATAATGTACATACGTTCATGTTTGAAAAATCAAATGCAAATACTACTTAAAAGTGATATTGTTGCAGGAGGCTTGCAACACATGTGTTACTGTTATTTTAATCTTAATAATAAAAACTGTTACGAAAACAATCTCATACGTCTTAAGTTTTCCTCCTCAATGGCATTTCAAAATTAATGAAAACAAGGAAAAGTTTAAAAAAAAAAAAGATCTATATGTAGGGTTTAATAGATTTTTTTGGCAAATATTCACAAGCTAGGGTCCTTCCCGTACATATGTTCTATAGCGCGGGCACTTAACGTAAGCAAGTAAACAAGCAACAAAAGGGAAAATGCCTTATTTAGAAGGGAGTCACTAGTAAATAAGATATACGTATATTTGTAAAAGTTGTTGTTCAGCCTATGAAATTTATATTTACATTTACAGCAACTTCCTGCATTAGTTTTGATGATGTTTATGAAGATAAAACTGAGAATAAATGTTGACCAACACTTACATGTATATGAAAGGTAGATACTACAGATGTAGTATATTCATTACATGAGGCCTCATGTAAAGTATATTCATTACATGAGGCCTTATGTAAAGTATATTCATTACATGAGGCCCCGTGGGGATCCGGGTTAGAATAGGTCCTTAATACGGTTTGTTCCCATCTCGCCTTAACTGTAAAATTTAGCATTCCCATTTCGCCTTAGTAAGATCTCAGGTGAATTAAGGTGATGAAGATTTAATATATTTAGCATAAAGTATTTTGGGTATTAGACATATTATTTCATTCACAGTATTCATAAATTCCCAATAATTGTCAAATTCAATCTAAAAATTTTCATCATTTAAGTTTTTATATCAACTTAGCAATATTTACAAATACTAAAATTCCCATTTCGCCTTAGTACTTTTTAACTTTTTCTTACCTGTATTTAACAGTTAAGGCGAAATGGGAACACACCCCTTAATACCCCCTTGCTTGTCGTAAAAGGCGACTAAATGGGGCGGTCCTTCGGATGAGACCGTATAAACCGAGGCCCCATGTCACAGCAGGTGTGGCACGATAAAGATCCCTCCCGGGGCTCAAGGGCCGTAAATGCCGAGCATAGGCCTAAATTTGCAGCCCTTCACCGGCAATGTGACGTCTCCATATCAGTGAAATATTCTGGAGAGGGACGTTAAACAGTATACAATCCATCAACCATTACATGAGTAAATGAAAAAAAATATCTAGTTTTTACGTCAAATCTTTCAATTCAATATCAGTAGTTTATAAAACTAGGGGGGGAGAGAAGAAATGAGAGAGCAGAAAAGGGGGGAAGGTATACTAAGAATTACACTGTAGGCGAAGAAGGATCGAGGGGGTTAAAATGAGAGAAGAGAAGGGGGTATATAATGAAGAAAAGGAAGATTTAGGGAGAAATAAGACATAAATATTAGGGAGGGACATATATTAAATAATTTAATAAGAAGAAAAAGGGCGGAGATATGATGAAAGAGTCAAAGAGAAATATAACGGGAGAAGAAGAGGTTTGAAAATATTATTGGAGAGAAAAGAAGAAGGGAGATATAACAGATCTTATTTCAACGCCAGAACTGGTAAATGCCACTTTTTCAATACAATACTATGCACTGTAATTATAAATGGGTTTAAATTCAATATCTACGGAGAATTTAAAAATCATTGAACAGCTTCGTGGGTGAGATTAAATTTAAAATGAATTTAAGTTGTCAATACCCTAAACATATCTAGTTGGGGGATACCCCCAATAATTATGTATTTATTTATAAAAGCAAGAAAAACCCAGACCAAAAAATATACTGGCCTCCTTCTTTTTAAGAGCGTATACCCCTTGTACTATATGTTAATATAGAGTCCCTTTTATCTGTTGTGGAAAAAACAGGTTTCTGCGCCAATATTTACTATAGCGCTTCTCCATAGTGCCTTCCTGGCGGTAACTAGGCGGCGCAGAGAATGACGTCATCATTTGAGAAAAAAGTGCAACAACATCGGCAAAAACAACCTCATCATGCACCAAAATCAACATTAACACCAAACACCAACATCACTACATCATATGCATGTACCATAAATATCAACACCACAATCAGCAAGAAATAAAATACTAAAAACAGCAACGAAAACGACAAGCACCTCTAACTACAACTTCACCATGCACCACCAAGATCGCCACACCATGCACAAACACCAAGAAACATCACTACCATGCACAACCACAAAAATCAACAATACATTAAGCACTGCCACAAACACAACAACATGGAGAAAGTGTGTCGTTGTCGCTGGTGGTGATCGTAGTAGTCATGTTGTTTTCGTTGGTGCTGTTGTTGATGATGGTTAGTGCATGATCATTTTTTTGGTTTGTAGTGGCGGTAGTGATGTTGGTGGTGTATGGTGATTCTGTTGCTGTTGTTGTTAGTGGTAGTTACGTTTTTGTTATTGATGTTGTCGTTATTTTTGTTTTGTTGTTGTTGCTGAAGGTGTTGTTGCTGTTCGTATTGGTGTTTGCAACCATGCCATGTCAACTGTTATGTGATTGATAAGTTCTAGTAAATTCTGGTCACTTTATTTTCAAATGGTGACGTCATTCTCTGGGCCTCCTGTCAGGGATTCGCTATGGGGAGGCCCTTAAATAAAAACTGGTACAGAACTCTGGTTTTTTCTACTACTGTTGATAACGCATGATGCCAGATTGACTTGGACACCATCAGAAATCAGAAACCACGGACTACTCAACATGTATCCGAGTTAAAATATCTGTAGAAAAAAATACATATATGATTCAATCATTAATTACACTTATTCATTGATTGATTTTAAGAGAGTATTTGTGATTTTTTTTGTGATCGGAGTCAAGTTCATCTCATAATCAAGTATTACACCGAAGGGTATAAAAATACCGTATATAAATTCAAAAGAAAAAAGAACTGTATTGCTGACTTGACTAATAATAATTATATGTCAATATAAATCAAATTCAATAATTACCTGGACGCTTGGAATAAGATAAAATGTGAACAATGAAGCGGGAAGTTAACTTTGTAAACGTAACTTATTTTCTTTTAAAAGGTAAATTTTCCCATTATCAGTTCTACACTTGATTTGTTTTAAAGATTTAACAAGAGTGTTTCACGTAAATGACAAAAAATATACAGATAAAATTCGAATAGGAAGAGCTACGTGTGCTTTTAAATCGACAAATGATGCAGATGTAGATGTTTTCGAACGCATTATCTAGGACCCTTACTATAAATGCTTTCATTAAAACATTTATTGATATGATATGTTTTTATTAAATACGATCCAGTATAGAGTCGCGATCGAGCATACATATTAAACTTTGATTAAGTGTGTTTTAATTATATCAAGGAAATAATTTATGAACTCGGTTCATTGAGGAAGGTGCTCAATGAAGCAGAGTAGGCAGTTTAAAGCGAGAAACCATTTCTTGGAAGACAAGCTTTAACATTAATGGGTTTGATTTTCAGGAAAACAAATCTGGAGGGTGGGGATGGGTTGATTTTTCCTCTAACGGGCTTGACTTCCTCTCTACATGTACATGTAATGCAAAAATGATTAAATCACCTTTAAGTAGCAGAGGTTTCAAACTTCCCTTTTTGATTCAAGATTTATCATAAGTTGAAGATGGCAGGTTTTCGTAGATGGATCTTACCAATGATAAAAATGATCTATATTGATATTACAAACTTTTATAATAGTTAATTTTTTACCACTTATAAAATAGATGATAGACATGGTTAAATAATAGATTTGAAATTTTTTAAAATAAAGCAATATATTTTTTATTTCACCGTTAAACTTTGGCCCCTTACTGGCTTGTTTTGTTCAATACTGCGCATTTTTAAATTTTCTTCTTGCTGTAGGACCCGACTGTTCTGAGGTTAAAATGTATATAATGAAGACAAAACATATCCAATTACGAAACATGATCTTAACCACATGCGTTATGTTAGGTCGAATTTACATCCTGAATCAATGCACTATTTGGCTTTCTTTCAGAAAATAAAATTCACGTGAGAGTTAATTAATTGCAACTCACATGATGTCTTTATATCTAAATGTGATCAATCATTCAAATCTTGTAATGTTTTCTTGGCAGAAACGGACGAATAGTCTTTTAAGTTTCGTGTGAAAAGGACTACAAACAAATTATAAGACAAATTTAAAAGATTAATTACTCGCTTACGCACCAGGATCTAGACTTCACCTGATAACATTTATTCGTTGTCCTAATTTTAAAAAAAAATAAAATGGATATTGTTTTTTTACCAGTTGAGTTTTTGGTGTCTGAAAAATAATATAAAATTATGTCTTTTCTTTTCCTATGCATTGATAAAATATTATTCGTCAGTAGATTTTGTTTCTTAAAATTATCAGGCAAAAATATCATATTTTGATGTCTTAAAAGTACATAAAAATATGTGTGATATTAAGATAGAACATTTCTGTATATTATAATTGCTATGTGAAATAAGGAGGACTTTCTTTTTTAATATGATTGATAACAGGATCAGATCAGAATGCTACAACCGAATGCTTTAAAATATGCACATAAAATCCTACATTGCATCCACGCAAACACTTTATTTACAATGTTCACATCAAAGTCATCGAATGTATTTTTTTCAAAAGCAGAAAACAACTTTATCTAACTCTTGAGGAAGTATACTGATCTACTACTCGGAAAGTAAATGGACAAAATTGCTTCCTGAGAGAGATAAAAAGGACGCTTAAATGATGGAAAGGATTACAATGAAAAATCATTAACAATTTTAAAATGATAAGGAAGAGATGGATACATAGCCTAAATTTCAGCGTTAATATTCATCTGCATGTTTTGGTTTTTCGGGAAGTAAAGCTAATCAAAGATCAAATACGCGAATATAAATGTTTTTTTTTTAATTATTTGATATAGTTGAAAAAACATAAGGAAAATATGTGTATTTATCATCAGAGTTCTGCAATAATTTAAGAACTCTGTGCTCAATTTAAATACACTTTTATCTTTAAATAAAATTTTTTTATAAATATTTTCCACATAAACATGGTTTCCGAGAAAATGTAAGCCAGAAATAAAGAACTATTTTTTGGAAACACCTGTGTCAACAAATTAACATCTCATTATTACTCCAAATAAATATCATAATTAATAGATATATATGTAACTGTTATATATACATATATGAGAAAAAAAATGTCAAGTTGAATTGAATATGTACACACCAATAAATGATCATGTAATGTACAGATGTAGCCTGTGAAAAGAAGGAAGATGAATTATAATAATGAAGAAGGTGGAAAGATCACAATATTCACCCAAACGCATTTCCTGTATAACTTTCTTTGGATGAACGGATATAAATATCTCTACTTTCCTCATTAGTACACGAAATACACCCAATAAGGAAACCTCAAGGGAAAAAAAAATATCGAATCTCACGTTCTGTGCTTGGCTACACTCATTGTTAACTTTGATTTTCGAAAATCAATTCGAGTTTAAGCCTAACAAGTTGTATGTACAAAATTATGACAGTGCATATTAATCTATTTAGCAATGTTTATACACTGCGATACTGCATTTTCAGGTCAAGAGCACATATATAAAAGTCTATTGGAGAGATATCAATTATAGTTTTTTATGATCATGTTCGATGTTCTCCGGCATGTTAGAATCAAGACCAATTATCAGTAAAATTTCCCGGAAGTGACAAAGCCTCGTTCTCGAGAAGACTTAGTCGACTTGCAGTCTGTAAAATAGAAAGTTGTTTGAGAAAAACAAGAGCTAAGTAGAAACAAATGTATTTATTCTGTAAGAATGGTTGAACAATAAGGTAGAAAAGATTTAAATAGCTTAATATATAACAGACATTTTTCACGACAATTTTTTTTAAAATAATTATGTTACTATGGTCAAATAATATCTTACGTTAAATGATCTATCGAAGAAGAAAGCATTTTAATTTACATATATCTAAAGATCACCCGACTTTCCATTGTTATCAGCCGAATGTTTCTTCTTTAGTTTACTTACGCGACTTCTAAAGCTATCCCCCGACTCAGTACTGGCACTTCTTTGTAAGCTACTTCTGGAGCCATTATTGCCACTTCTTAAGCTACTCTCGGACATTTTTTTCAAGCTACCCCCCGACCCACTGCTCCTCAAACTGCCTCCAGACAAGCTATCAGCACCCCTCCTCATACTGCCCCCAGATCCACTGTCAGTGCTACCGTGGACGCCACTGTCTGTAGGTAAGGAAATGAAATACTGCTGTTTTAAATTTATTTCAGATTAATGTTTTCTTGATATATATATATTTTAAAATCAATACCTCTTTCAGGACATTTAGGTGGTAGGGACGGTGCCTGGATTTCTCTTTGAAACTGTAAGAATGTATTTAATCATTACGTTAGTTATTCTTTTTTATCTACTGACTTAACTATATTTCTTTCTTTTTAAAATCTGCTTTTACAAAAATGATTTGATTTGAATTAATAGAATGATAGAATGTTTAAACATGCTTACTTCAAGTCGTTTCACTGTGCATGTATTTTCTGTTTGAAAAAAAGGAACACCTTTTAAGAATATTTATGTAAAAAAAAAATTGCATGAGCTTTCACACAGGAAAAGTGTGCACGTGTACTTAAAGTCAGCAAGGATCTCCGAATCATACACAAGATTGAAAAAAAATATTTCACTTGTCTCAGGTTAAGTACGTAGATACCACGATACATCTATTTAGTTTAGTGTAAGAAAACAGCGTTCAGTAAGAGAAGGAAGTAAATAAATTGTGACCAGTCAAGAAGAAATTTGATAGGTTTTCTGATTTACGCTGAATCACTTAATAAATACCGTAATTACAGATATATTGTATTACTGGCCAGCCAACTCGTGTATGCACTGAATTTATATCAGAATCATGATCAGTTAATGTCATTTTATCTTTTTAAGTGACTTAAAAAACCACGCATGTTGGGAAGTTTAAATCTTGACAGATAAAATAACATTAAAATTGATCAGAATTTTGAAATAAATACCTTCTTCTTCCATGGGAAAGGTCAGATAGTCCGAGTCTGTTTCTTCTAATGCAATATCTGAAAATATTTATAAATGATTATATTGAATATGATCACACATATTTGTCCAAACTCTGGGAGAAACATAACCCGTACATTTTGTTTTACTTGAGCCAATAAGCAGACATTATAACGCTGGTTGTAATAATTGTTTAAATTTAATTGTTGGTAATACGTTTCCTTTACTATGAATAGGACATCGCATGAATAATACAAATGCGAAAAGATTTTTATTTTTAAAAATCAAAACAGTAATATAAACAGCAGCATATGGAATTTGGATTTAATATTTAGCCATTGAATAAATTTAATATAGCCTAGTATAGGGCTAACAGTGTTAATCTTTAAAAATACAGCTCATAAAAAAACCCTGGAGTTAAAAATTCATATTGAACAGTTATTTTCTCCAAACTTCTAGCTCCTTTATAAAGGAATCCAAACATAGCAAGTAAGTTCAATGCCATGATATTCAGCTTATTTAACAGGAATTAGCTTTAGGGTACTAATCTCTTTTCCGCAATGCCTCTCATACAACTTAATTAAAAATTAAATGAAAATTTCACAGAAGTGACAGAATCTTTGTCACACAGTGCCATTGGCCCATTATGCACATTTTATGTTTACTTTTTGATCCGACACAATTTTTCCTTTGGTTTCCAACGGAAAACCATTTACACTGCCATTCTTTCTATACTATTGAGGGTAACCCACCTTTTATCCGCAACTCCTCTTTTACCAATAATAAAATTCACATACTGAGTATCTTTATTGCATAGTACCATTATGCATCTCCTATTTTACTTTTTGATATGGCACTTATTTTGAATATACCAGAGAAAAATACAGACTTTGCCATTATAATCAATAGAAGGCAGGGATCACAATACCTCTAGATTTAACTTTGTTGTTTTTTCAAACATTTATGCTTGAAGCTTTCCTAACTGATTCCTGTAACTGAGAAATAAGCTTAAAATGTGCTCCTATAAAAACCTTTAAAAAGGGCACAAACTTGAAAGGGATTTCTGTTTAACCCTTCTCACTGGCTTACCTTCCTTATGAGAGGGTTTCTAGGTATACAACTTTTATTATAAGTACATTATGTGGAGTGTTTTACCCTTCGATGGTTTGGAGGCTTGCATTAGCTATGATTAAGGAAATTATAATAAGATACTCTGTGAAGGTCAGTGAGACTTATATCGTGTATATAAAGCAGATAACCAAGGTGATTTTTTTTTCAAATCAAGAAAAATCCCCTTTTTCATTGATATAAATATAAATATTTATAAATATTTGATCCCACTTCGTACAGTTTACATATATACATATAAGTGACAAAAGCGTAAATATTGATGGAATATTATATCATCAAGTTTGATAAGAAAAATGGTATATGTACAATATATGTTTGATTAAGGTATGTGCAACATAATGGTGATACAATTCATTGTCAAATTGTAATGTATTCAAACAATGCACAACAGCAGTGATTTACCAAGTAAATCAATTTTATTTTTTTTACAGGTGAAGGTATTATACATGTAGATAGAATACTTGAGTGAAGCAAAGTACATAAAATTTGACTCAAAAGTTATTTGTCAGAAATTATCTGTTATTCAAATGTGTTCTTGATATGTGTGATTGTAAACAAATGTTTTATACCTTGAAAGAATAGGACTATAGCAACAGACAATGAATAACTACGTGAAGAGAATTCTGCGATTCTCAGAAATATTCTGCTAAAATCATAGACCTTTCCTTCAAAGCAGATCATGTTGGGTTTGCAAAGACGTTTTTTTATGAAAGCTTAAATATTCATTAAAACTTATCAAAAACTTTCATATAATGAAATGTAAGTTTAAATCAAAATTTGTGTTATTAAAGTAACAATGGTGTTTACACCCACAAAAGAGCAAAATGATCAAAATCTACTCACTTATTTCTTCATAATCAGACACACACTCTGTATTCTGTAAATACATTAAATAAAATAAGAAGTTAACACAGATAGAGAAAATATGATTCTCTTAAACATAGACCTAAAGCGCTTTAGGACTGTGTCTAAAACGTACATGTTTCTTGTTTTTCTGCTTTTTAATTTTACCAACCTGAATTTGCTCTGAAAGAGAACAATGACCTGCAAGTAGAGCAATCTCACTTGGAGTTCTGTCATCTTTGTTTTTTATCAACCTAGCGGCCTTATAACCAGGATATTTCATCAACGTCTCGCAGAACCGATGTAAACCGTATTTGGCACCAAAATGGAGGATAGTGGGAAGTTCGGAATCTGATGCATCGGCTGATATAACAACAATGAAATTTTAAAATTTAAAATCATTCGTTTTTAAAATTGCAAATGCCTTCTAATTTTACATTTTTGAAAATTTAAACTTTTTTTCATTATTTCATGTTCTTAATTGCTTTTTCACTTCCTATACATTTTTTGCATATATGTATACCCACCAAATATTTTCGAATTTTCCTCTTGATTCAAGTTTTCTAGACCGGTAAGTGGAATAGTATGAGTTTTGAAGTTGGAGAATTTCTCACTTAAAATCAGATCTAAAGCTTCGGGGTTTTCAGTTTTCATTGCTTTACAGATAAAATCGATGGGGTTTATGACGTCATCTAAGAGATCTGAGAGTAGCTGCATTTTAGGCCGAATTGTAAATGACGTTTTTCCCAAAGATGAGTCGTCAACCAGAACCTCCACTAAAACTTCTCCCTCCGGCATTCCTTAAATTAGAGTAAGAAAATTTTCTTGATCCTACATATGTAGTGTAATATAACAGTTTAGCATTCATCTATGAATTTTCGATAGATCCAGGGCGTATATTGTTTTTGTCCTGTCTGTCTGTCTGTTTGTTTGTTTGTCCGTTTGTTTGTTTGTCTCGAACTTTAACCTTCACCATAACTGTTAAAATGCCCTTATTAAGTCTTTTGTTTATAGTGCCACATTATATATGATATACTTTTGTCATATTTAGTTTGCATATTTCACTAATCAGGTTCTTTCAAATGATACCAAGGTCAATGACCTTGACTGTGACCTATATGCTAAAAATAGCTTTTCTGAACCCTCACTATAACTTTTGAACCATGAGAGATTGAGATTTCATATTTAGTACGCATACACCAATCAATCAAGCTCTTTCGAATGACACCAAGGTCAATGACCTTGTGACCTTGACTGTGACCTTAATGCTAAAAATAGCTTTTCCGAACTTTGTTGCCGCCGGGCGCATAGTGTTTCACAAACACTTCTTGTTTCTACAGTACTTTTAAAATAGTCTTTTGTTTATAGTGCCACATTATATATAATATAGTGTCGTTCAAAAGGATTATTTTAAATACTGAAAATACGCTTTTTCTAGAGGCTTCATTATTCTGCTAGATAAAAATTTAATGCTACTTAAAATCAAAGGTATAAATAATAGATTGCTAATTTAAAATAATTATGGATGTTATAACGCTGTGACAAATATCTGCAAAAATATTGTGACTGTTTACATGACGTTTAATTTAATCTTACGCGGAAAAGATGCATTTACAGTATGGCATAGTTTATTGATAATATTAAGGAAATATCAAATTAAAATCTTGACATCCCAAAAAATGATGTTATAATCGTAAAAAGTGTACCCTTATAATTTAATTTTTCTTTAAGATCTAATGATGAGGGTGCAAAAATAAATGGGAGAAGGTTACTTTACAGTAACTGTACAGTTTTAAATAATCTGAAAGAGTTACTAGAGTGCCATATTACCTTCTGGGTTGAATTTGTAAGCGGTTTCATTTAGTTTTAAACATTGCACTGTATTAGAAAGACCACATTGGTGTCTCAGACGGACGCTCATATTCTTGCCGTTCATTGTTTTCTTAAAGGTGATAATGACATCGTCTTTGGCCTGTAAGATTTTTTAAAAAAAATTAAAAATCAATATATTTATCAAGCACTGTATTTTTTACATGTCAAATAATCTAAGGCTTAAATATTGATACCGTCCGGGAAATAAAAACATAGAGTTGCTGGTGATGATAAATAAAAATTTCTTCAGACAAATCAAAAATACAATGTAAAAGTAATACTCTCCTACCGTCCAAATCTCTTTCGGTGTCAGTTTGAAATTAACCAGAGTAGGAACTTGAAATGCTTTGAAATTCGTATCTATCAAAGCAAAAATCTGAAAACATGTCATTTTGAACTCCTCGTCGTTTTTCCCTGTACTAAGGCATTTCCAGCTAAGACTGTCCGGGCACTGATACTCCAAGACTCGTCTTGTGTTGCTATTTTTAACATCGATGACGTCATGATGTATTAAAGCTTGATTAACAGATCCTGATGCTATTTTCTTCAGAAAATGCTTAGGGCGAATTTCAAGTTCTTCTAACATTTCAGGTGTTAAAACAAGAATAAACACCTTGCTTTCTTCGGGGGGTCGTCTAATGCAGATATTGTGCTTACGAACTGTATATTTAAATTTATCCAAAGATGCGAGGATAAAATCACATATACTTTCGCCGTCATCGGCAAAGTAGAGAACAATACTATTATCATCTGAAAAAAGAGAATAAAAAGATTAATGAACGTTCAAAACATATAAATTTCATTAAGCATGTTTAATTACATTAAGCTACTAAGTTCTCTCTCTCTCTCAGATTTTTTTTAATTAGAAACAAACGTCAACTTACTTTTGTTGTTCATCCTGTTACATGTATTTAAATTTGAATGCTGTACAGCTGGAGTTGTTTTAACATTAGATAAGTGAGCGGTTTATCTGATAGAATATTTGCTATGATTGCAGTAGACAATAGTGAGCAAAAAGATTAACACATGCACCACGTGGTTTTATTGTGATGTTTGATTTTTTTTTTAATTCATATTACATTGATCGAGAAACAAAAAATGTGAAAAATCTTTTTTTAAAAGCTTTTGTTTTCTCGAGCTCATTTTTTATACTTGATCAAGACCTACAAACCATCAGAAAAATGCTATATAAACATTTGATAATTTCGCAAATGTAGCGAAAAACTTTTTTTTTCGGCTGTTTCTCTTCTCGTTGTCGTTGCGTTTTGTTTTTATATTATATATTTCATAGGAGAAGATGCGGAAAAGAGATAGATACCCTTTAATATTATAGAAAGAATGACAGTGCCAATGTTTTGCTACGGGAAACCGATATATAATATACATGTCGGATCAAAACAGTAAAATAGGAGGTCACAATGGCACTATGTTACAGAGATTCAGTGTAAGTCTCATTTCATTTTTCATTCAATGGTATACGTATATGAAAGGAGTTGTGGATAAGAGATGGGTACCCCAAAACGCAACAGACGGACGGACGTACAGGAGGACTGACATCGCGATCACTACTTTGTACATGTATATACCCACCTCCACTTTTCAAGCGGCGGGAGACATATTCAAAGCATAATTTTTTTTCCAACCCCCCATTCTAAATTATAGAGAAAATAGTTTTAACCAATGCATTGCTTATAAAACAGTATTTCCAATTTATTAACAAAACAGACACGATGATTTTAGAATAACGACACATGGACCTCGGAGGATACTGCTAGGTAAGTACTAATTTTCTTGCCCTTTTTCCTTTCTGTGACTTTCATTATTTATTCATTTTACATGAATATTTGTATGGGAAATTCCTAGGACTATTAAGAAATTTTGGAAGTAAATTTATATACTAGGAAAATTTATTAATAGATTGTTATTTCCTTAAAAAAATTGTTTGTTTGTGCTTTACGTACCTTGTAAGTTTATTTCATTCTTAAGATATATCAAATTCCTGGAAATCATATATACTAACCTTTTCAGTTTACAATTAGGGAAATTCAAAATATAATAAATTTTTTTGGAGGGGGGTGGGGGTACGAATTCTTTCCAGTAAAATGTCTTTAATTAACTCTTCCTTTTCTTATTTATCTGTTTTTGTTTTACCGGCTATTGTTTTATTACCTTTAAAAGAAATTCCATTATAGGTAAATCATATTACTTCATATTACTTCTAATAATAAAAAACTTCAGCGAAAAATAAGAATAATTTGTTAAGTTCTTCCTTTTTTATTATCTTTGACATTTTTATGCAGCTCATCAATACAATTGAATAAGAAAAACAGAGAAATACATGTACATATATAACACGAGAATGCTAAAATAATGCACACAAGTCATGTACTTCATCAATGAATAATAATTGAATTCAAGCGGGAGGGTATATAGTAATCGGTATGTCCGTCCGTCCGACTGTTACGCTTTGGGGTACCCCATCTCTTATCCCCAATTCCACTCATACCACTCAATGAAATTTGATTAAACTTTCACAGAATCTTTATTACATATTACTATTGTGCACCTTTTATTTTACTTTTTGTTCCGACACATATTTTGGATTTTCCATAGCAAAACATGGACACTGCCCTTATATTCATTTGGGAGACGGGGTATCATTTAGTGAGCTCATTGCTCACAGTACCTATAGTTTTATTTCGGCTGCTTCACTATTTTTTCATTCAACATGAATATTTATATGGACAATTCCTAGAATTTGTAAGAAAGTTTGGAAGTAAATTATATAGAGGAAAGTTTATAAATAGAATTTAATTTCTGATTTTCTATATTTAAAATTGTTTGTTTTCACTTTACTTTCTTGCAAGTTTTTTTCACTCTTAAAATACATGGATTTCTTGGAAATTATATATAACATTTTCCGTTTAAAATTAGGGAAGTTCAACATATAATAATACTTTTTTGTTTAGGAATTCTTTCCAGTTAAGTGTCCTAAATTGACTCTTCCTTTTCTTATTTATCTGTTTTTGTTTTACGGGCTATTCTTTTTATTACCTTTGAAAGAAATTCCATTTTTGTTAAAGAATATTACTTTTACGAAAAATAAAAATAATTTGTTCTGTTCCTCCCTTTTTTTATTATCATTGACATTTTTATGCAGCTCTTCAGTACAATTGAATAAGAAAAACAGAGAAATACGTGTACATACATAACAAGAGAAAGCTAATTTAAATAAAAACAATATAAAACATATACTACATCAATAAATAATATTTGAATCCATGTAGGTGTTAAATCAATATAGTCCACAGAACACAGTCTCTAAGATAATTCAGATCTCATTAATTATATTTTTTGTGCTATTGTTAAAAATAATTCTAAATTATTTTTTATATTTTCTGATCTTGCAAACATGCATAATTTATTAATAAATGAGCATAATAGCTCTTCTTTTTTAATAGTTTGACAATATTTTATGTAATGCAAAAAATTATCGATATTATTTATATTATTGTGTCAACATTTGTAAATATTCTTGCAAGCTGTTAACAATTGATTATTTTTCTTAATTTTCAACAAATATAACTGATAAATTCGCAAAAAAAAACAATTCTAAAATATAATAACTACATGTAAATCAGATATTCATTGTTTTTGGAATACAAGTTAACCCATTGATTTTCGAGAGGTTGGTCTTCAAGTCAACATTTATGCATGCATAAAATATATGTGTAAAATAGTTTATTTAATGACATATGTAACATATATTAATAAGTGTATCCGTCTGAAAATAGACGAGTATATACAGTATAAATCTGGAACATCAAATCATATTAATACAGTTTTAACATATTTAAAGTTTTGTACTTAAATTTCCACAATAACCAATGTCATCTTTGAAAATCAAAGTCATGCGTGGTGTCATCTGTAATAAAAAAAAATTGTTGCATTTATAAGTTCTAGTATCACCGAGAACATCATTGAGATAAGATTTAATACAATAGAAAAAACAAATATTATGACTATAGATCTTTTAAGTGTACAATTTTACCAGTGATTCAGTTACATAAAAATAATTTTCCTTCATGAGTAAATTATTTGAATAAAAAATGAATTATTTATTAATAAATACATATTAATATATAACTTATATGCTTATAAAATAATTAATGATACATATTAATGACTAAATTAAAGACTAATATTAATAAATAAATTATATATTAATTTTTTTATTACATACATTTGTATTTAATTTAGAATAAAAAATGTGTTGATTAGGAAATAGCAAAAAAAAAAGGCTTTGTCTAACCTGTTTAGGATCAAAAGACATAGAATCTTCTAAAGACGAAACACTAAGATCACTGGTGGCACTCTCTGTTAATGCACTGTCTGAAATGATATATTATTATATATAATTCACTTAATTTCTTAGACATTTAGCTTAAAATTCATGATCATTTTTTGGTAATATTTGCTTACCTCTTTGGCTATTCTTTGAACGACGTCTTACAAAAAGATCCGAATCAGACTGGAATAAATAATAATTATATGATAATAATAAAATTCATTTAATTGCAACTTTTTCCTTCTCTGTGCAAATAAGTATTATTTTCTGAATTTATATGAATATCATGAAATTCTATTAGTTACGAAGGGATTTGAAAAATGAAGTACACATTTTACTGAAATGTAAAGATAACAAACAGTTATCATTAAATTAAACAAATAATGAGCTGAGTAATCATGGACCTCTTAAAGATATTAGACATGGAATCAGGTGCTATGAAGGAGTAGGTTGCCCCCTGTCAACCGGTACATCGGTCACACATCTGTAAGTGCATGTGTTTGCAGGTGTACTGAACTTGTCATCAGTCTTTACAATACTAACGCATGAAATGAAGAAATTGGTAACAGTATTCAAATGTCAATATCAGGAACTTACCTGACGGTGAGGAAGAGGTGGTGGACAACAACCCTTTTCCTGCCCTATATAACAATTAATTATAGTTAAAATACAGCCAACAAGCAACATTTTCATTGTCATAAAAAATTGTCATTAAAATTTACAAATATCATTTGGAAACTCCATTTCACATTAGTTTACATGTTCAATTTCTTTTATACAAATTTTAGCAAAACTTTCCAGTTTTAAAATGAAATTAGCTTTTCTTATATATGTTATAAAAAAAATCAAAAGTAATTTGTTCCCATTTACCTATTTCTAATATTCATATTTCAAATTATTTTGAAATTTTTAAAAGTAAAATCCATAATTTGAACTGAAACATTCTTAAATATTTGAAAAGGGAATTATTCCATATTTTACCTGTATTCACCTGCTTCATGGTCATATAGCCATCAGAGGTATCACCTAAATGTACATTAGGCCAAAAAATTAAAAAGAATTAACCATTGAAACATTGTAGCATGAAATACCAAATTTCTGTCATTATATATTTTTTCCACACTAAATTGGTATATAATCAGAGGAATATTTATGAAATACCGATCAGTTTACTGTCATCGCTTTGAAACGTTGCAAAGTTTTCAGGCGGTTGGATATTTGCAGCTATATCAGTATGACCTTCAGAGAGTGCAATCTGACTCGCTGTTTTGTCGTTCTTGTTTCTCATACAAACCGCAGCCTGGTATCCGGGGTATTTTTTAAGAGCTTCACAAAGTAGCTTTAATCCAAGTTTTGCACCGACGTGGAGAAGTGTTGGAAATTCTCTAGATGATTTCTTTTCTGTAAAAATAATTTTTCCCATAATTCGTCCGATGTTTGGTCGTATTAATGACCGTTTGCAAATACAACCTATCTTTGGGTCGTATTATAACTGACATATTTCCTACCAATTGTAGGCAATTATTTCTCTGTTATTTTGGCTACGGACTACTCAGTTTCTTTGAAAGAAATGTTTCGATGCAGAGGGTTGGCGGGAATTTGATTGTCGACAGAGTAAGCTTTTTTCCTCATCCACCTGATTTGAGGGGTCCTGGTCTCCGCCCTTTTCCCGATTCTTGATTTGAGATTTAACACTAATAATAAGTTTACTTTTACAAGATTCCATTTGAAGAATACTATTTAATAATTCTTTAAGTGATAGACTAATGGTATAGCTATAGCATGATCTATGAACTTGAATAAAAATAATTACATTTACAAATTAGATTTTACCAGCCAAATTTATATAATATCAAAGTCTAAATGTCAGTATGGCACGTTATCTCTAATTGTTGATACTGCATTGTGTGGACAGGGGTCGGGGGGGGGGGGTATGTAAACAGATGCTTGTAAACGATGACCGTTACTTTTACCTATGCTGATACACTGTAGATAAATTTCTAGATTTGTCTATAAGGTTTACTCTCTCATTACATATGATTTTCTGAACGATAATCCCTGAATGTATACCAGTCTGATTTAACAATATTAAATCAGCTGTTGAACTAATTATAACACAGTTTTATTATACTCACTCCACAAATGATCTCTAAAGTCTAACATCTCCAATCCTGAAAGGGGATTACTTCCGCTGGTCCCATTGGTTAGAATGTCTACAAGTTCACGATCTAAAGAGTCGGGATCGTCACAGTCCATAGCTTGGAGGAAAAATTCAAGGGGATTCATCATGTCAGAAATCATGGATGAAAATCTGTCAATTTTGCTACTTATGATGAAACTTGTCTTTCCAGCAGAGACGCTGTTAGTGAAGATTTGCATTGTAATTTGTCCATCAGGCATCCCTGTTAAAGATTTGATCTGTTTAATATTTATGAAAAAAATGAATTTAAGCATCAAAATGTATTATTGTCAATTTTTTTTTAAATTCTTAAAAGTCATGTTAAAAATCATTTCAAATACTTTGGGTTGTCCAACCTAAATTAAAGTGCATTTTGAAATTGAAATTGTTGAAGAGAATGTATTAAATTACATTTTTCAAAAGTTATGGTGAAAGGAGTTTTAAAAACAACAGTTCAATCTAAGTTCTTGTTACATGTACATGTATGTACCTTTACATCTGTAATTAATGTTATGCGAGAGTAAAGATTTTACTTAACAATATTAGTAGTAGTTGTCTGTCATAGTTCTTACCTTCAGGTTTAAACATGTACGTCAAGTTGTTCAGTTCAGTACATTTTATCGTCTTTCGAAAATTATTTCTTTCAAGTAAAACAGTAACATCACCCTTAAGAATTTCTTTTTTGAAAATCACAACTATGTGTTCATTTGGCTACAAAATAACACAAATGATATCTTAAGAAGGTCTGTATTTACATGTACATTGAATTTATTAAAATTATACGGTATATTGATAAAAAAAATCAAATTGTAGTTATGAAATCATATTAAACTCACAGATGAAATTCTTTTGGGATTTATTTTGAAGCTCAGAAGAACTGGAGGCGCATTGGGTGTTGAATCCATAAGTTCCATGATCCGGAGCAGCGCCATCTTGAAATCCTCGGAAGAGGTGCCGAGATGAATTGTGTTCCATGCACTCAAGTCCGAACATGATTCTTCCAAAACTTTTTCTGTGGATTTATTACTGATGCTAACACTTTCATTGTGGCACAAAAAAGCTTTTTTCTGACACACTGAGCATGCGCTGGAGAGGAACCCTTTTGGCTTGCCTTGAAGGTCGTGAATCATGTCCGGAGTCAATATAACCAAACTAAGGTTACTTTTCCTTAATGTACACTCTGAGGAAATGTTGACAGTCTGAATCTCGAGTCGAAATCTCTCCTTGAAATAATTTTCCAGATGCGTGCTTATTTCTTCCCCATCATCAGCGTACAGGATTGCTAAAGTGTCACTTTCAGCGCCTGTTTGAATTTTTTTTGGAGAATGTTATTCCAAATCACAATATACTAAGTTACATTTTTAAACCTTGATATTCAGTTAAGAGGACTATTAACTATTTACAATGCATTTTAATTTTTATTGTTAATAAGATTTAAAAGATGACTAATTAAAAATTATTTAGCAATTTTTTACAAAACAACTTACGACTTAAGACTAAATTTAATTCTTCGTATAACTTTTGAATAAACATTATATCGAAAATTATTTTAAACTTTTTAAGAGGAATGTGGTATGATTTTTTTTACACAAACAATTTTAAAGAGAAATATTAATTTTACAAAATATTACAACAATCCGAAGTTTTTGGTCTTAGTCTTAAGTTCTTTTGTAAAACGGGCGACAGCTTATAATCTACTCGTTTTTGTTTTGCAATTAATGACGCTTACCTTTTCTTGTGAAACTCATGCTTGGTCTGGTGCAAGTTTGACGTTTACCTGTCAAATGCTTCATCATATCGGATGATTGCTTATATATATAATATATGTGATCCATTATCAGTGTTTTAGATGATAACATTTATATCACTTGTACTAATTGTTTGTATTATCATCATACAATAAAAACTCATTATGTAATTTCTTTTGAAAAAATTCCCCAGAACATTTCAGAGATGGGTTTACAATTAAAGAACAAATAACGTTTTTTTTACATTGGTTGTTTTTCTTTTGAATTAATCAAATCTGTGTTTTGAAAAAAAAATTATTCAAATTCTTTTTCTTTTATTACTCAGAAAAGATTCAATTATTTCATGTTATATAGATAAAATGTACAGAACTGAACTAACATAACTCTCTCTCTCTCTCTCTCTCTCTCTCTCTCTCTCTCTCTCATATAACATATAATCTCATTTATATTTCAAAGTCTGAAAACAACAGGTATATACACATGTATAAGTTAGCTGTAATGTATACAGTGTGTCTTCTTCACATAAGAGCTTCTATAAATATGATAAGAGAAAAGTAAGTTTATCAAACAGTAATTTTAAGATTTTTAAAGTGCATGTGCACGTCACACTGTTAAAATATTTGAAATGTTATTGTATTTACGACATAAAATTTAACATTTAAGAGAAATATCTAAATACAAATATATTCTTAAAAAGATATATAAATTTCAAGCTATGAAGTACTGAATAAAATTTACTCAGTATGTACATTTATTTTTTTTATAAATAGATTTTGGAAGGATAAGTAATACAAGTATGTTATAATTGTCACATATAAATCATATATTTTATTTTATTCATTTAAAAATCAGATTTTACATGAATAATGAACAATATCTTCATAGAATGCTCATTTCTTCTGTTTTCTCTGTAATGTTCTTTATCATCTTCATGGGGTTGCCAAGAAAAGAAAGTTTTTAAAAGTATTGTTGAGGACATACTTTAAAATTCAAAACAATTTTCGTTTCATTAATGATAGTGTATTGTCCTTATTTCTATTTATATCATAACCTAATAGACTTAAATCAAACTTTTAAAAAATTGTTGATATGTATCATTGTTTTCTAATTAATTAATCAAGTTCTCATTATTTTTATAGATGAAAGAAAAAAATAATGCATACCATATCCATATAATTATTGCACAGTCTCCGGCCTTAAACTTCAAAAAGAAAATTAAAGAAACTGTTGAAAATATTTATAACAACTGAATATATTCTTAAATGCTATAATGAAACTTTTGAAAATATATTTTTAAAATCATTTTCAAAAGAAATCAAATTTTAATTCTGCTTTGTATACATATACTAGTATTCTACAAATGATTAACCGTTTATTCGTCAAATTCTCTACATTCCAAAAATCACAATTCTTAACTATAATACTCCAAAATTGAGCTTAATTAAATTAAGACAATGGTTGATCAACACTTAGAATGGAGTCTAGACTCCATTTATAAAGTTGGACATACTTCAGATGCTCTATCAGAGAGTTTCAGCATTGTTCATCGCTTATTACCAAATATTGTTATAAAAAGCCCTATAATTACTTCACCATGAAATAAAGCTGTGTTTTGATTTAAAAAAATGGCTCTTTTATCTTTATTAATTGAAATTGCAACTTTCGGTTTTGTCAGGTAATCATCACATGGTTAAATTAAGTATACAGACAGACCTGAATCTCGGCTGTGATCTGATTTTTTGTCTTCTTTATTCAATGGACATCTCTTTGGTACCTGTATTGAATAGAAATAAAATAAAACTGATTTTAAATGAAAGGGTCAGGAATGTGAAACTATCATTTTAATTTTTTTATTTGTGTGGGTTTATTTGATATATATTTTATAAGCGGCATTATCTGTCTAATTTAAAAGGCCTTTTGAAAAAGGATGAATGGGAGGATTCTGTTGTTGATTGAAATACAATCTTTTAACAGGTGAAAAATATCTGATTACTTTTAACCTCACACTTGCTTGATAGTCAAAAGTTCACCAGTGAAATAGATAAAAAATCTTCCAGGGTATTTCCCTAAATGTAGGAACGCAGTTATAAATAGAACGTACTGACTGATCTTCTTTTGAGCTGTATCTCGGGGTAGTTATAATGTCTCTGATAGGAGGTCTGGGAGCTGCAACGTGGAAAATTCATATTTTTAGCAATTAGACTAATCACAACGTGTTCTAGTAAATAAATAAATAATAAAATCGTGTCAAGGTTCATAATTTCAGAAATGAGTCAAAACGGACTTCTAACGTTTGCATAACTTATATTAAATCTAAGGTAGTGCATCTCTAATAAAGAAGAATGCAATAAGTGTGACCATACGTTCTATCTAGGGGGAGCTTAGCTAGATATATCCGTCATCTTATAAGTAACTCGGAACACTCAAGAACAACAAAATACAGGATGTAGGAGTCCATTCGTAAACACAAAATTCATCGGAAAATGTGCCTTAGTGACGTCGCATCAATTTTTCGTTTCAAAAGGAGAATACAATTGCTTTGGGGTGAAGAAGGACCTTGATCTGAAAAAAAATATTTGTCATTTATATTTTTCTTTTTCTTTTACGTCTCAAATATATTAAAGAAGATATATCATTAGGGTTCTTCCTTTATTGTGAGGAAATTGATTGACAAATACTATGCACCACCGTGTCTGATTATTTAAAAGTTTTTATTTTTTATCTTACCGGACCCATTACTTTGTCCATGATTGGATTTTAAGCACATATAAAAAAAAATATGTCTGTTAACATGGATCTTTTAAAATCTTTCAGAAAATGATACTCTATGTTTAAAGAATTGAAAAAGCAGGTTTGTCCTCTCACACTGCATCTTGGGAAAGGAAAATCAAGTAGACTTTAAGACACCTTAAACAACAAAACAAAACTTAATTTGCAAAAGATTCTATCATTCAGTAAAAGTAGATATAGGTCCTTCACTCTTTTTTTCATTTTTTGATATGGTGAAACTGAGTTTGATATTCCACATGACAATTACAAATTTGATAACATGTATTGTAAAAAAAGAACATTTATCGCAAAAGATTCTTCATTTGAAAGAGCTAAAATTGAATTTTTGCATTTAAATAAATATGAGATATATATTTAAAAGAAAAACTGTGATATTCATTAATCTGAAAGAAAAATGGAACTGTCTACCATTAGAATATGTACTGCTAAATTGTTCTGTTTGAGTTGACCCCCCAGCTGCTCCAGCTACTTATAATTCAAACAATGAATGTTTTGTAAATTGATATTAATTTAAGGCTTGCATATACATGTCTTTTATAAATGAGATGATGAATGTTGATTTTTTTTTTCTCTTCTTTTTGGATACAAAAACTTCACCTCTTACAAGATGAACATTAAGTTTATTTTGTCAAATTAGTTTGCTGAATCCAAGGCTCCCCAACTTTGGCTGTAAACTTATTAATCACCATATTCATGTAATGGGGTAAAAAAAATATAAAAAATATTCAAAATGACATCATTATAAAAGACATAATCATTATAGTTAAAATTCTCGAGGACGGGGAAAACCATCTACGTGTATGACGTTAAATGTAAGCTAAATGAGCGAAATGATATATACCTACAGAAAACATCCTTCATCAGCTGTGCAAAAATATTTTTGTTTCCCGTTTCACAAAATATATTATATACTGATTATATCTTTTTTTTCACAATAACACTGACAGTGTATTCACCGAATATGATCTTGATGTACTAACAGATCGTGTTTGACGTCACCGACTTGCTGGAAGCGAAAAGTAAGAAAACAGAGGAGTGAAACACCATATTCCGTAATTTGTTGTATTTACAAGAACTTTAAAACATTGTACTATTTTTTGTAAAAATGTGGTAATTTAAGGGGGCCGACTATAGTTTTATTGTATGAAAACTACAGTAGCGAAACTCTTCAGTTTTATACCATATATAACTTACATTAACTTCAGTGTACATGCAAAGTTTGGGGGAAATCTACCGTCCAGGTATTTTTGAGGGACCGTCTCAAAATATAGGTACATTTACTAAAGGATGATATAGGAAAATGCCAATTTTTAGCACTTTAAAGCAAATTATACAAATACTACAATAGACATTTTGTTCAAACTATAATATTTCATGAGTAATACTATATTTTACAATATATGTAAGAAACACAAAATTCTACCGTCTTGTTAACAGAGGGGGCATCTCAAAATGCAAAAAATTAGCAAATTTTACTATTTTTATAGAGTACTACAAAATATGACGTAAACAATGGATTCACAAAAAACATAATAAAAATATTCGAGATATTCCAAAAATTCTATGTTTTAAATTTCAAGAGCATATGTTTATTACTTTTTCTTTAATAATATTTTTATTAACCCTTTCTTGAAGAGGTACAGATTAACATAACGTCAAAAAGACACTGCAGCGACGTCAACTTACCTATCAATTGCAAAATCGGTTAAATAACCAGTTATATCAAATTGTAATTACATTTTTATACCTATAATTTCTTAATTTTGTTTAATTTTAATAATAAAGCGAAAAAAAAATGCAGTAAAACAGTAAACAGGCTTCATTTTACTATGATGCGCGAAATATTGCGCAATGGAAACTATAGTCGGCCCCCTTAAGTTAAATACTAAATAGTCAAAAAATATCTAAGAAATGGTGGCTTACAGGTTTTCATTAATATGGTCAAAAATCGCATCTTAATGTGTTCCCATTTTCTAACAAACCTTGTTCATTACTTACCCGGTCCTTTTCTTTCAGATAAATATCTTCCTACATCTGTTGGCCTTCTTTGTAAGGTTATCTAAAGAAGGACCAGGCATATGTATTTAGCGTAAGTATCTTCTGATTCTATTTATCACTTTCTTTATAGTTTAAAAGCATTACTGATTACTATGATTTTAGTCTATGAAAATATACTAGTAAGTCTTTCTTTATTATTCATTCTTATTCCTATATATGATATATATATATATATGATAGTGATATGATAGAGATATATGATTATCTCCATATATTTCATTCGAATTCGTTAAAAAATCAATTTTCATCTACAAAATTAACTGTGAGAGATATTTCTAATCACGGAAGTATGTAGAAATAGTAATACTTACTTTTGGTGAATGAGTTTCTTTTGCACTAGTACTCAGAATATTTTTTGAGCGAGGTGAATGACCTACAATTTTATATTATAAATATAATCTTAATTATTTCAACCAAACAAGTTAACTTATCTGTAAAAAATAAAAAAAATTCTTTACTTACTGCAGCTCTTAATTCTCCGGTTCATTTTGATATCAAGTAATACCAATTAAAACATTTTATCCTTCCAACGAATGACATAAAAAATATAGAAAGCGCTATTTCTTTTTGTACAATAAAATTCATTATTTAATTATTTAATATTCTACTCAAGTAATTACTATATCCAAATAGCAAATAAAATGTGATGCGAGTATAATAAAGGTTCACTTTGATACAAAAAGCATTCATTTCAACAGTGACTTATATGCTTACCCATTCATACTGATTTACAAATATATTAAGTCAATTTAAATGTAATGAGGGTAATTATTGTATTGTAAAATATTCATATTCATGATTTGAATTTGACTTTCAGAAATTCCTATAAGCGAGAGATCATGAGAATTGGTAAGAAAATCAATTTTTTTTTAATTTGTACTGTTGATTAGTTTGAGAAAAGAAAAAAAAATATCTGATTTCCATATGATTTTACTTACTCATAGGTAATTCCTCCATATCAAGCTTAAGCATCAAAGGATCTAGATCCTTTGAGAGCTGAGGGTATCCCAATCTCTGGGCTAACTTATAAGGAGTTTCATTTTGCTTGTTTCGTGTTGTTATGGCACTGTCAAAACCTCGACAGACTTTTATTGCTTTGCAAAACTGTGAAAGTCCATACTTTGCACCGAAATGTAACATCGTTGGCAATTCACTGTTCATCTGAATACCTAAAATGTGTTCTCAGTAATGCATTTATAAATAAATAAATAAATAAATAAATGTTTTTCAAAATGTTTAAACAGTCATTTAATTTTAATTCTTTTATTTCGCAAATTTTGATTGGCATTTAAATCACATTCAACTTACTGCTACCACAACAGAAAAATTGAATTAAATTTACTATGAACAATTTTTTCTGCATATAAAAAATCTTCCTTTGTCTATTTCAATCATGTGTGTTTGGGGAAATATAAATTTCAAATTTAAAGAGCATTTGATGTACCATTTAATATGTCTTGGTTACTAAATGTCTTCAGACATGATGAACTGAAACCATCTCTACTTATCCTATCGCTGAGGTCTTTATCTAAATTTTCTCTTTCTTCGATGGAAAGTTTCAAAACCTGACACAGGAACTCGACAGGGGATATGATATCGCCCATCTCCTGATACAGAAATTCCATTTTGTCGCCCACACTAAGGTTTGTAGAACCCTCGTTCTTGCCATCCACATAGACGGTGATCTGTGATTTGCCAGGAGGTAAACCTGAATCATAAAATTGTTACCTTTTGAAAAACCGTTAAAAATAACTAAATTTGTTTTAAAGCAATTTAAACTAAAAATTACCTTTAATTAATGAATACACCTGTAAAGTATGAAACCCTTAGCATTAACTGTTAAAACATTATGGATAAGGTTTAAGTTTGGGGGGTGAGGGTTGTAAAAGTGGGACATTTTCCAAAATTATGGTCAAGAGGTCATTAATAAATTTGGTGGTATTCAAAGAAAGGTCCTGGCACAAGGAATACATTTGTGAAATATGAAAGCCATAGCTCCACCTATTCAAGTAACTTAAGTCACTTAAGTAATAGATACGTAATGGGGCAGTGTATATCATTATTTGCAGTCTGCATACAAATGTAATATAATTTAGTGAAAGAAATATTAATAGAGAATAATACATATCCTTTTCCATATCACATCCTATATCAGCCCATGACAAAATCATGGCCCTCTGGCTGATAAGGTCATGATCAAATGATTGGAAAAGGGTATGTTTTATTATGTTTATTACATACTTAGTAATAAAATACGGCACAGATTAAGTTGAGAAGAAAATATGTAAATAATCATGCACGGATATCTTACATGCACACGATATATTGTCTCATACGGTTTGGGTTTGTTTCTATTTCTATTTCAAATGTGCCCGATCCGTTATTTGAAAATATTATTTGTCAGTTAGATTATCCTAACAATCTAAAAGTTAAAATTAAGAGAATATGTACCCCCAAAATATGTGTATGAGAACAAGTCCTTTTTTTTTTTTTTTTGGTTTAATTTACTAAGGGTGTGATATTGATCCGTATCAGTCCCGCAAATCCATATCAGCCCTGTAGGGCTGATACGGCTATTGTGATGTCAGGCATATCGCATATATGCAAAAATCCTGTATTTATTACTAAGTATGTAATAATACATATTATTCTACTTCTTCTGTAACTTTTTAAAGCATTTAATGTTTAAAGCATCAAAATTTTAACATTTTGATATAATCTAAAAACTGAAGGATAATTAAACATATTTTAGTCAATGACTTTGATAAAAGTTTAGCATTTTTTAAATTCTTAATTGTACATTGGTGAAAAGAATAAATAAATGTTTTTTTCATGTCTTACCATATGGAGAGAAAGAGAATGTGTACGGATTCTGGTACTTAGCATCTATTTTTCTGTATTCCGTATGAACAATTACCATAGAAGACTTCTCCTTTTCAGTTTTGAAGAGAATCAAAACTTGGTGCCTGTCCTGCATTAAAATATTCTGCTTCATATATATGTTCAGAAAAAGTAAATAATGTACGAGTAAATATTGTCTTCGTATATAGATATATGGCGATAAAATATCCCTCTTACACAAAGAAAGAATGGGGCCACTATCTTTCTTAGAAAAAGCTGTCTTGTTTCATATAGTTTTTGACTATTTTTGTTGTCTTATTACATTTGTCTACATTTGAAACAGTGACTTTGCACCCCCCCCCCTTGAAAAAATACCTTGATGTGGGTCTATAAATGCTGTATTAGATAAAAAAAATTAATGTTTTTCTTTTCCCTAGTTAAAAATCGGCATTGTTACATGTATAATAACATGTTTGTGTACATAGAATTACCACATTATCAGTTCACTTGTAATTTGAAAATTGACATACTGTTCATCATAATGACATTTCGACGTCAAAAGAAAGTAAATATCATATATATTATACCGTGGAGATGTGGGATGGCTCCAGAGAATATTGCAGCAAACTAGGGAGACTTGACGACTCTTCTTCAAGCAAATCCAATATTTGAATTAAAGTAGATCTAGTTTGCGTTAATTTGAGTGTTTGCCAAGAGTAGAAATCCGGTATTTTGGCCTTCAAGACTGAACTCACTCGTTCATCATCCATAGTTATAGGGTCATGAATCAAAAAGGCACATTTTGTGTTTGGAGGAAACCTTAAAGATGAGCATGGGTAATCCTTCAGAGATTCTAAGTGAGAAATCATTTCTGGAGTGATGAGAAGAATGGCTACACGGAAAGCCAGATTTCGGCTCTCTACTTCGGTTACATCACAAACGTTCACCGTGATTTTTGAGTCATCGTTGAATTTTTGAAGGTTTCCTTGGATGTATACAGCAATTGGCTCACTCTCATGAGTATGTATGATGAAGATTGAATCATCCAACTTAACATCCGCTATGACATACTCTTCAGATTCCCATGGTTCTTTTTTAATTACAGAAAGAAAGTATAACTCTATTTATCTATTCAATTTAAAGCTTAATGACTGTAATTATAACTGCACATAAACAATTATGTGAAATTAAAAAAAATTAACTTACGGCTATACGTATCATCCATTGCAGCCATTTTATACTTTTCTTTTAATAGGGAACATGTCAGCACTACATATTTTAGTTTTTTTCCTCCTTTATCGTTGAGGCAGATGGATTGTTTAAAGGCGATTGCCTTATCTGGGCAAGAAGAGTAAGGTAAGGTAACATAATAAGACTTTTACCAGATACATGCAAAACCTATTCTGCACACCTGGATAGGCACATATTTTTCTGAATAAATTTTACGTAAATAAAAACCTAGAGATGTAAGATTCTAAGAACATGATACAATAGCGTTATTTTTTGTTTTAAAAATATTTAGGGATAAGATACAATTAAACGTACATGATTTATGGTGGAAATGCATACGGTGCATGAAAACTCAAATACTAAAAAATTATTCTGTACAAAGGTAATTCATTGTCCGTTTGCCAATCTGATCTTTTCTAATATTTTATATCCCCCCCCCTTTTTCAGAATCAGTAGACTTCTTCAAACCAAATTCAGAAAACAATATTTATTTCGCTAGTTCAAAAGTAGTTCAAATATAATTATTTTTTGCGATTGAGGCAGCATTCTTCAAATACAAGGCAAAGGATGTATTCGCTTTAACAAAAGAATTGACCTATAGGAGAGAACAATTTCCCGGAAAAAGTGACATTTAAAAATCTATCTTCATTTGTTGTTTTCTACCGTACATATGTCTAAATTTTTTAAATTTGTATTCTATACCTTAAATTTATTATTTACAACTTTACAATAAATCTCCAAAGTTGATCGAAACACCATTTTGTCCTTTAAAGCGTTGATTTTTGCATGAATTTTGGTATTGAAGTCCATCAGGGCAGGCCTGCCCCTAAATAAATTTGTGATATTTTGATAGGTTATGATGTAAGGAATAATTTAAGATAAGATTTTTTTAGGGGCACCCCTGCCCTGGGGTCGAAATTCACAAAAAAACCTACAAAAAATAAGGAAACCAGATTTTCATAATCTGCTTTAAATTTATGCTATTCATTTGTATAGTCAGACTAGCTCAGTTGATATATGCGCTGACTTTTATACTTTGGATACTCTCTTTTTAAAGTCAGGGGTTCGAATTCACCTGGTACAACACTTAGATAAAGTTTTAAACTTCGCCTTTTCAAAGACTATTTTAATTTTTTTTTATAGACTTGTGTATTTTTCCTTCAATTTTCTATCCCTTATGCATGCCCATTCTTGATATAAGAAACACTAAAGAGATATCAAATAGTAACAATCCAATGTACAGTTGTCAGTCAGGTGGAACGAACCTCAGTATAAGCACACTTTCTCCGAGGACAAGAATAACTCACTGTGTGTTACTCAATACGGGTATTCTTGGCAGGATTGAGCTGCGATGAATTTCAATTGTATATATATTCCTTTGAATGTAATCACATTTTACATATTTCAGTGAATGCACTCCCTTGGATTTCATTTAGGCCTTTATAATTTGCACACATTAATGACAAGTTTTCATTATATTCACGGATTAATAGCCTAGACATAAAGAATAGAATTTCAGAGACAGAAGACATTACCTTTATGCACAATGAGAAGTAAAGACAACTATCAATTAGGCCTATTACATTTGGAGATAACAATTTCAGAAAATAAAAAAAAAGGGTTCCCCCTATCTCTACTCACTGAAATAAAGATTTAGGAAAAACAAATTGTTATATGTATTCAGCCTAATGTCATTATTCAGAACGGAAATCGAAAAGCTTTTTGTAGAGAATAAAACCAAGCCCGGTCCTATAGGTCAGATCCCTATTTATAATGAAGTGATCCTTAGTAAGATGTACTTTGAGCACTAAGCTAACGACATAATATGATACCCAATCTCCCTTAATTATGGTTATATATGGCAAAGTTCATGTTTTGTTCTAGGGTCCCAAATAAGTGTCAGATCAAAAAGTAAAACAAGAGGTGCACAACTGCATTATGTAACAAAGAATCCCTGAAAGTATCATTAACTTTTATTCAGTGGTATACTGTAGATTCCTAATTATACACGAGGAATTAATTTCCGCGTAATTTCGCGAGAAGCGTCAATCGCGAAAAAATATTACTCGCTTTTATAGTTATTGTTAAGTCTATGTAAATTCTGTTGATCAAATGTCCATTCGCGATTTATAATTCTCGCGATTTGACGTTAAAGACCCAGTTCACGATAAAAAGTACTCGCAAAAAATAAGGAATCTACAGTATTAGGTGTTGAGGATAAGAGATGGCACATCCTTCAATATTATATTTAAAAGATACAGTGTTCAGGTTTTACTACGGGAAACTGTGTTGGATCAAATAGTTAAATGAGGGGTCACAATGGCACTATGTAACAAAGATTCTCTATCATTAAATTTCATTTTGTGATAGAAGTGGAGTTGCAGATAAGTGATGGGTACCTAATTCGTAACAGACGGACGGAACTACAGACAGAGGGACGGACGGGCATGCCGATCACTATATACCCTCCCACTTATGAAGCGGGGGTATAAAAAATTATACAATATAAATTAAAAAAAGTACAATATCCACTTGTAGAATTCAAATAAGAATTATATATTCAGATGGATAATGAAACAGTTTACAATGCATATGTAATGTATGTTATCTCACATCATTCTCGAGAATATTTCACTCATACAATACAAATGAAAAAGGTCGAATATTGCAACGTTTGAAGTGCCATATGCACACATTTCAGTACTAGTGATAAAGGATAGCATGTTTTTATTTACGATAAGAATCATTTCATTGCCTATTAATTTTTGAATAAATAATAAATACAATTATTGCATTCTATAAGGAGATAAAAAGAAAGCTGATCATGTTAACTTTATATAATGTGTATATATAAAATACAATACAACAATTTATGCATAACCGACTATAAAACTAATAAAATCCCCCATGACCTCTTTAATACTGGCAAGGTTTCAAAATGATGCAGGGTATCAAAATGGGGGTTTTACTTTTCAGTCCCTTTAAAGCATAGATTAAGTATATTGTCATACGTTTATGACAACAAATTAGCAAATCATGCCTAAATAAACAATGTACCTCCCGTCTCGTCTTTATCCCTGCATAATCCGAGAGCAAGAAGAACAAAAAAGAGGCAAATGTTGAAGACGAGAGTCTTAGGTTATACACATATATTTTAATAAAAATTAAAAAATTGTATTCATATAAATGCAACATGCATTTTGATAGCCCATGAACCCCTTAGATCGCTAATTTCTTTCCATAATCCTATCATCATTTAACACAGCACATCCTATCCTCCTTCATTGAAAAAGAAACATGCAAAACAGTTTGTAGAATGTTGCCATCTTTGTGACGTTTAATAATTTATTTTATGTCTTCAAATGCTCGGCAGGCTCACCGCAGCTAGTTTTTGCCTAGTGACTAAAGGCCGACTAAAATAATACAATTATTTTTCAAGTAACTTCACTTACAAATCGCAAATTTCTTGGATTTCTTTAGGAAATATCTTCAAAATATACGTGATTCAAAAAATACTGTGGACAGCGCGGGAATAAAAATTCAAGTGATCCGCTCAGCTGACCACGTGATCCTGGAATTTCGCATACCAAAGTTAAAAACATATTTTTAGCATATAGGTCACAGCAAGGTCAAAAGGTCATTAATCGTTTGAAAGAACTTAATTAGTGGACTATGCCTAAATATGCTTTATCATTGTTCAAAAGTTATTGAATCAAAAAACATTTTTGTAAATACAAGGTCATTCACCTTGGTGTCATTTGAAAGAACTTAATTAGTGGAGTATTCATACCAAATAAGAAGTCTCTATCTTTTATCATTCAAAAGTTATAGCGAAGGTTAAAGTTTGCAAAAAAAAACTATTTTTAGCATATAGGTTATGCATACTAAATATGAAGTCTCTATCTTTCAATATGTTCAAAAAGCTATTTTTAGCATATAAACAACGCATTTAATACAGAAATTCAATTATAATCATAATTGCTGTTTGAAGTTTTGAAAAGTATTATGAAAAATGTCTCAACCATTCATGGATATAAAGTTATTTAAAGTTTGCAGACAAACAGACAAACAGACAGACAATATACGCCTATATAAAAAATCAAAATTTTAGCAAATATAAATTTTGTAAATGGATAAATTAGAATTTTCATGAAAACGTGTCTAAAACACTCACAAATATAAAATTACAAAAAGAAAAGGCGGAGGACGGCGGAAGAAGGCTGTAGGTTGGAGAAGAGGTGGAGTTTCGTGCCCTGTAGCCGGAAGTATAATTGTAAGATTTGACTGGTTCATCTCTTTCCTAAAACATGAAACAAAACGACAATTGAAATAACGTCACTGTACAATATTTTAGACTTAATCACTCAAGGAGAACACTTATTTATTACCATAAAAATCTTAAGTAGATTAAAATGTTTTTATGTTTTTCATTAGATTATAAAAAGGTATGAATGTGAAGTTTTACGACGTGTACAAATATTGTTGGCCAGGTGTCATATTGGGTGTTTGCTTTATTACACAGACAGAAAAAGGCATTTAACACACACTAATTTATACATACGATCCATATGCAATTACTTCAGTGTTACACTTGTTTAAGACATTCTTAATTGCAAAATAATTTCTAAAAAATCAAAAATTAATATGTTTTACGGTGTGACCGTTGGGGCGAGCGCAGTTGTACCATCAAAAACACTCTAAAAATTGATCAGCCACTTCAAACATCAAGCCGCACGAGACATCTCGACTAGCTGTGACGTCACACGCTGTCACGGAGCTCGTCGGAGCTTACGGAGACAGCCGAGCGTCTGTTTGAAACTATAGAACTAGTGCAATTTTGGTTGAAAAACATGGTAGAGTTATTTTTCGTTTCTTTGAAAGATTTCTACATGTACAAACCGATCTGGCCTTTTATGCTTTACGTTATTATTTATGTATTTTTTTATTTATTTGCGCAAAGGACATTGGGTAGTGCAGGAATTCTGGGAATGTTTCACAGAGAAATTTGGCTGACGTATGTACAGATTTCAATCCGAATTTCCTCTGTTCTTACACGTTAGTCTATTGACGCTCGCTGCGCTCGCTATTATTATATAAGTATATGCCAGCGCTAGAATGAGACCAGTAGCTTAATTGGTAGAGCGATTGTCGTCGGGAGTTCGTAGTTACGAATTCGGGTGCGAAAAACTTACATCGATAAATAGATATAGGCAACTCATCCTTTGCCAAACACCCGATCTTCGCGGCGAAGGTTTCAGTTTAATCCTTCAGGTTGGACCTTAAAAACTAAGGCCACGGCAGGCCTTGGAACCTTTATGAACCCTTACTAATTATTGATCCTTCGGACAGAGGAAACATCTTTACGAGTAGCTCTTTCTTGGTATTTGGTAACGTATCCAGTGTGAGAAATTATCGTACAAGGGACGTTAAATTACAATCGCTGTGATTCATAACAATTATGATAACACACATCTATATGGTGTCATATGATTTTGTTTTAATTATAGAATCAACCTCAGACTAATTTAAAATTTAAAACATTGAAAAGAACCTTCAGTTTATCTTTCTTGTATCACTGGAACATTAAAAGTCAATAATTAATCTTTAATTAAGATCTTTAAGGTATATTAAAATCAATATTTTATCATTTCTACGCCTTCAAATTGAAATAAATTCTTTGAAAAATCCCGATTTGACGAGAGTTAACTTGATATTTCCTGGTTAGCACTGTGGTCCTTGACACACTATGATAACTGTAAAAAAAAATAATAACTAGTCCTCATATTATGATATGAAAGCTTAAATAAATTCACAGAGAGCAAACATTCTCATTATAACACAAGATATGCAAGGTATCAAGTTTTTGACAACATAAATACGTATGTATGACACGTATGTTTTTGTGCTAGAAAAGGAGAAAAATAAAAAGGGTTAATACTTATATCGTTTGTTTGCCTAGACAACAATACAGGTAACGAGATCATTTTGTCATAAAAAAAATACCTCAGTCACGTTGACACTAATCCTTAATACACAACGAATGATTTTATTTGCTGATTTTATATTCCGGGTTATGTTGAGATAAATTCTTTTACCTTTCAAGACAAACATAATTGTTTTTCAAAAAAAAAATGCGGAATGTTCACAAATTATATCATTATATATATGAAGCGGTCATAACACTATTATCTATTTCAGTGAAACACAATAGGGGACTGGGATGCTCTTCCATGACACCTGATTTGACCTTGACATTATCAAACATTCTTGTTTGCTCTGCCCACAATCTGTATTGTTTTCCTTGCACTTTTGAGCGTGTTTACTCTTTTCTTCCTTCAGCTGTAAAATAAAACACAAACATTATTTTTCAAATGTTCAATTATCTAAAAAAAAATCATTTGTAGGCATATTCTTACGTCAATTGATATTTCATACTCCTACGTTAAATATAAGTATTTTTGTAAAGAATCTGTCGTAAAAAACGAGTTTAAGGAGATAAATATAAAACTAAGGAAGTTGTATTTGTTTTCCAAAAAACACAAAACCTCCTAATCATAGAAAAAAAAATTTAGAAATTATAAAAATGACTAACACAAGTACTTCGATTTGTTATGTTTATATCATTAATAAGTTCAGTCTTTTATATATAAACAAATATATATACATATAAAAGATCATACCTCTCTTAGTTAACATCTTTTTTAAATGAAGGATAACAAAGCCTCACACACTTTAAAAAGTTCATTAAATGTTTAATCTATTATCAAATTCCTTCTATTTTATGCTTGCTAAAATCTCATAAACTACGAAAATTATTTTTTTTATCAAAATATTACGTCATAATATCATTTTAAAAGAAAAACTTGTTTACAGTTCTTAAGTTCATTTTCTATGACATGAACATTATACATATATTTGCTTTACCAGAATATTTGCCCCAAGGTGACAGGAAACTTGGTCACCGAGGGGCAAATATAGAATTAAGCCATGCAATATATGGTATATAACATTTTTAAGCATTGAACCCAAATCGATCATCGAACATATTTTTTAAACCTATGTACACATATTTACGTTGAGTATAATATTCCGAAAAATCCCGTCCTGTTTCATGGCAGAATGTTTTCAGTATGCTGACATTTGTGTTGATAACCTTTGTTGTATTTAAAGAATTTTTCTCTTCAAATAAATTATTTAAAACTTTTTAACTTTCGCAGAACTGTTTACGTTTGCTTAGCAACTGCCTCTGTTCGAACCCGACGTAATTAACTGGGAAAATTTAATCAAAAATGTTATATTAAGTGTATATTGCATAATAATTCAGTAAGTTGTAAAGAGTTAAGCTTAAGTTTATTAAGTTCATTTTTTACGAGATTTTGCTTAACTTGGTCTATAGGATTTGGTACATGTAACATTGCATAGATCCTTAAATTACTCTTGTCCTTGTTAGCAAAAAGGTGTACATAGAATTATTTATAAACCTAAAAATTCTAATTGTGCTGAAACCCTAATCACCTAACACTTATTACAGCTTGTGGTTTTTTTTCTTTAATAGATACAAATCAAACATTAATAATATAAATGCTCGACAAAATTACATCACATATTGTATTTGTACGCTAGTATATCTTCCATGTTGAAAAAAATGTGCATACATATTATTTTTGTAAATGTTCAAATGCTCACTTCAAAGGAAAAAAAACAGGGCGATAAAAACATCATTAGCTGATTTTTCAAAACCATATACATGTAAGAGCATCAAAATTTTATAAAGATATTTTACAAATGAGCCTCAAATATTTGTACTGTTATACCATATACGAACATCAAAAGATTAAATTTATATACCATATATGAGCAACTAATATAAATTTGATATATTATAAAGGAATTTAGAATTAATACTTAAAATCACTCGTCAATAAAAGTTATTCATCGTTAACATAGTTTAAAAATCAAATGCTTCCTTATTTGAAATATTTAGGTTTTTCCCATTGAAGTTTTTCTATTTATAAAATTCTGAAAATAAATGTGTATACCTATCTTTATTTCAATAACAGTTTCATATAGAGAAGGTCGCTCGGGGTGTAAGGATTGTTTTTCTGAGTTATGTTATCTTGGTCAGCTGAAAAATAACACCATGTCACAGATCCCTACACCTAAGGAACTGGATAAAGACATTCTTCAAACAAAGCACAAAATTTCATTGTTCAACACACATGTACGGAATTTGAAAGAAAAGCGGGAAAATGATCACGAAGTGTATGAAGAAGACTTACTTGATAGTGCAAGTGTAAACAGATTAATCCCAAAACTCTCCGATCTAAAACTGGAAGTGGAAAAATTAGAATTAAACTTGCAGAAATTCAACGAAATTTGCAAGCAAGGTTTGCTACCAGGTAACTTTTCATCAGCACTCTTATGTTAACACTTAAAAATTGTTTTTGAAAAAAGTCGGTGTCCTCATAACATTGTAATTCATTATCGTTGTAAAGAAAGAGATTGTTAAATCTTTGATTTCATACAGGTGGAATATCTACCACTCCGATTCAGGAAGAGGGATCTCTGGACAAGGTATGAGTAATATGCAATGAATACAAATTTAAATTTATGACATCGCTTTTTATGTAAATAACTGTTACGTGTAAGTTATTCTCCATTTCACAGTTTGACTCCTCAGAAATGGTCACAAAAAGAAATCGGCAAGGTACTCTCTTCGATGATAATTAACAAATCAATCAATTTGAACAAGTTCTGTTTTATTTCATCTAATGTGTCTTGTACTTTTCAGTTGCTCCTCATCCACCCTCTAAAACAGACAGTGGAATTAGTATCGGTATGGACGAAAGATTATCCAGACCAGGTAACTATGGCAATAATGGTGGTTATGAGTAAGGACATACTTCTGATTAAAAAAAAATAGAAAATACTTTCATTAATAATTGAAATAATTCAAATTGTCTTATAATTTCAGATTCCATCGCTTCAAACCGGTCTTTGTCCACTGTATCTGAGGTATGTTATCCAATAATCTGTAGATTGTTGTAAAACAACGATACGTATTATCGATTTAACAAATTTCTCACTGATATACTTTAACTTTTCAGCCTTGTGAGTCTGATGATCCAAGCTGTCCATTTAGAAGAAAAATGTCAAAACGAACAGAGAATCTTCTCACCAAACAAGCCAAAAATGCTTCCAGCCGACGAGTGGCCAAAAACGACAGCGACAAACCAATGTCTCCAGGTAGATCTTCAAGCCTTTGAATCTGCCCCTGTGTATATATGCATGTGTCAATAATATCAAGAGGATCCCATGAGGAACAAAGTTTCTCTACTACTAACTTACCTCTAAGAAGTGCAAGGGCGGTTTTTTTTTATCAATTGCAAGAGACAGATAAAAGTGCATTTGCTCCAGTTGACATTGGTATAAAACTATTATATTACGTACGAGCCTAGATATTGCATATAAATGTCTTCCGAAGACTTCCACTTCCTCAATTTAAATGTTAACAGATAGAGACATTTACTATTCAAATACTTAAATTGTACTTAGAAGAGAACATTAATTTATAGTGAATGTTTTTGTGCTTGTTATCTACATGTATAGTCTTTGATTTATCAACTTTTTTACATTAATTATTATTCCTGGAACAAGTATGTCATGCATACAAGTATATGTAGTGGTTGTGTGTGCTTATGGATGTGTATTGTGTTTATTTTATTTTTTTTCTGGGGATAATTAATGTTACATGTATTTACAAAAAAGTGCAATAAATCTAGTTGTTAACCTTATATTTTTTCATGTATCAATCGAACATGATACACTAAATATAGATGCATTCAATACATTCAAGTACATAATTAAGAAATTAATTGTGCAGACACAAAACAATTAAAGTTAAACTAAAAAAGGAAAAAAATTGAACGATTGAACATGTCGTCAATATTTGATGGCCGTGGTTATTTTTAACTAGATTTGTAAACGAAATCAGGGAAGTTTGTGTGGGTATACCCATTATATTTTAGAGTCAACTGTTAGTCACTTACGTCCACACAAACACGTAACAGCGCAAAACATACCCTATTGGAACAGGATAAAGGGTAATTAAATTGCTAGTATATAACATTTAAAAGTTCTTCATTTAATGTGGTGCCCATGGGGTGCAGTGGTTGGAGCGTTTGCTTGATAACGTCGCACAGTAAACAATTAATCCTTACGTCGTAGGTATGAATCCCACTGCAAGACGCGGCGACTGTTTTTTTTTCGGAGAACTGTATAAACCAAGGTCGCAGTAGATGCTGTCCTGTAAAGGTCCTTCACTGCTCAGAGACCTTAAGTTCCGAGTACAGGCTCTGAATTTGCAGTTCACTTCTAGAGAACATAAAATATTCTACTAATAATTCACAGAGCAGTGTTTGAAATAATACTTTTGAGAATGAAGAAGGTGAAGATGAATATTGTTAAACCTACAAACAATACAAAACTGTAAATAGAACCCAGAATTTTAATAAGTGAAATAAGTTGTCTAAAGCTACAAGGATATCTCCCATTTATTGGAGTATCTTTCTTTATTACTAAAATATGTTGATATAACTTTATATACTTGGTACATAGTAAGTATTAAAAGCACAATAATGAACATCTTGTAACATTTAGCAGTGATTCATTAGAAGAAGATTATCAGTGTTCTTTTAACACTTTTGAATTATTGCTTATCTTCATCCTAACACAATTGTTAGTTGTTGCATACATGCAAGTAGCTGCCAGTTTCTTCAATTTGTCTTTTCCTCAGATGATACTAAAATATTTGTCTTAAAGAAGTTGGTTTTCCCTAATTTGGAAAAAAAAACATACCATTTAAAAACGAACTACTGTACAAAACGATAACGTTGTCCTGTTTCTTCAACATACTATTGAGAAGTTTTTTTTTTTAAGAAAATGAAGTAAATTTTATGGAATGAAACTGCAACTTAGGCAAATTGCATCTCCATTAAAACTACAGTTAATATGTGTTCATTGCTTCAAGGAAAAGATCTTTTTATGGGAATATTAGGAAAACATGGGGCTCAGCTAGGTAGATATAACAGGTAAACAGGAGATGCTTTCTCGTCACTGGGCACCTGGTCCAATCTAGTGTCTTACGTCCTTTTCACAGATCTGTTTTCTTTTTCTCTTTTTTAATTTCATTTTTAGATCGATCACAGTTCGTTATTTCACTTTGTTTATAAACAATGGAATTAAGAAAGAAAGAAGTGTAAACCACTTTCACTTTCACTTTAGCTCAGTTTGACATAGTATTTTCTTTTTTGTTTAAATAACAAAACGTTTTAATGGTAAAGTAGAAATTGTAAGACTATTTTTTAATCTTCAAACAACAAGCTAAATCTTTTTGAAAATTATATGAAAAGCGCTTTGCCATGTTTTAAAAACATTTTAATATTTTCCTACTTCAAACATGATCAAGAAAGGGGAAATATTTATCTATTAAAGTCTTCAAAACTAACACATGTGAAAAATATAATTTCAATCATTAACACTGACTAATGTTGAATTCTAAAATCCTAATTTAATGATAAATAGATTTCACATAAAATTTCCAATATGCAAAAATATCATTGACCTTGAATAAGAATTGTTTTCTTTTTTTGAAATTAAAAACAAAAAATGACCTTTCTTTTTTATTTGTATATATAAATTTGAAATCTTCCTGTTTACATCACTTGATTCAAACACAAATGGTGTCATAAAAATGTGGACGTCTTTGTGTTTTCTGTGCAATTGGTAACTCTGATTTCATGAACTCTGTTTAGTAGCCCGCATGACGCAGTTGTAAGAGCGTTAAAAAAAACTTTGATCTAGAGTCGTGGAGTAAGTAGTTGATCCTTATGTCACAGGTTCAAATCCCACTGTGGGACGTAAAGACCAGTTTTTCAGATGAGACCGTATAAATCAAGGTCCTGTGGTCGCAATAGGTTCTGGCACGAAAAAGATCCCTCATTACTCATTTGGCCTGAGCGCTGAGTGCCGAGTATACGTCAAAATTTGCAGCTCTCCACCGCCGTCTCCCAATGATTGAAAAATTCTCACGAGGCCCAGTAAACAACAAACAACCATTTAATTTTTAAAGGCATTTTCTCCATGGACTCAATAAGCTGCCTATAGTAAATAAGAAAATATATTTACGAATGAGCCGGGCAGACAAAGAAATGTACATGTTCTTTAATGTTCATCTAGTTTATAGTTTATAAAAAATGACTTTATAATTCATCTAGTTTATAGTTTACTGTAATTTCTATTTTTTTTATTGTTTTAAAACTTTGTATACAGATAAGCTTACATATCTTTATTTTTACAGAGTATTCAAGCCGTTAACGGGTTAGACAGGTCAACAGGGGTTGCTTACTCCTCCTATGACCTGATCCCATCTTTGGAATTGCCAGAATCCGGCGTTTTATGCCCTTCTCACATATTTGTATTGATTATCGATTTTTTTTGAGGTCGATCACTGTTTGTTATCTTCACTTTTTACATTCATTTGTGTTTTTATAAAACAGCAGAACCAGGAAAACGTTGGCTTCGTTCTTTTAATAGATAGTTTAATTATTTGTTATGATAAATGTGAGACTAAACAAGGAATTTCTCTGTCTTTTTATGTTTATTTTAAGATACATTTTAATGCTAAAAATAAATTTTTCAAAATCTATTTTATTCTACAAAAAAATAACTATTTAATTTTCATGCACAAGCACATACGCAATTAAATTCAAATCTTATATAAAGAACCTGCACCGTGTTTACATGATCAAAATGTAAAATACTCCGAATTAAATTTGAAACGTGTTTCAATGCAGAATTCAATACAAATTGGTTACATTTGAATTGATTGACCGTTTATGTGATTTGCAACAACAATTATTTAATTTTTGCACAGGAACATACGCATTTAAGTTCAAATCTTACATATAAAGAACATATTCCGTGCATCAACTCGCGCGCTTCTAAGTGTGGACGTAAACCTCCACCCCAAAGCCTATCCCTTTATATTTAATATTTTGTAAAATTCATATTTTATTATAGTTTTTAAAATGTTTTACTGCTTCTATGTATTTTGTTTTGATTACTACAGCTTTTAAGGTTTTGATTGTCTTTTTGATGAATCTTTTTTTGCCAACTTTTTTCTTTTGATGTTTGCCTATTTTGTTTTGATGTGCCATCTTTTTCAACTTTTTAATATGATGTTTTGATGCCTTCTTTTTTACAGGTTAAACATATTTTACATAACTGATGAGCAATGAGCTTCTTGTTTGTTAAATTGTTCACAGTTATACCGCCTGCAATATGACATATAATGACATGAAAGTGTCCATGTTTTACAAAATAGCAAAAACAATATATGTTATATCAAAAAGTAAAATAGGAGGTGCACAATGGCAATATGTAATAAACATTCTGTGAAAGTATCATTAAATTTCCTTCACTGGTATTACTTTTTAGGAGTTTTACAGGTTTAATAATGCATTGTACAAAGCGTAACAGACGGATAAAATTAACTTTATACCTTATTTTAATATATACCCTGCAGCTTTTCCATGCTATAAGCAATTTCATGTCCGTTGAATTAATTCAAATTAAACAAATTCGCATGAAATTTCCCGTCTAAATGCAGTTCAAACTAGAGGTACTGTTCGTTATTAGCTCACAATATGATACCCTCGTCTCCTATATGATTATAATGGCATATTATTATTAAGTTCTTTTTTGCTCTTGGAGACCCGAAAAAGTTATCAGATCAAAAAGTAAAATAGGATGTGCACAATGGTATTATGTAAAGAAGAATCTGTGTAAGTTTCATTAAATTTTGTTTATTAGTAGAGGAGGAGTTGCGGATAAGAGGTGGATACCTTTCAATATTATAAAAAGTACTGCCGTGTCCATTTTTAACATGGGGAACTCAAAATATGTATCCGATCAAAACTGTAAAGGTATACAAGGCACTATGTAACAAAGATTTTGTGAAAGTCTCATTAAATTTGATTTAGTGGTAGTTGCGGATAAGAGATGGATACCTCAAAGCGTAACAGACGGACGCACGGACATCCCAAATACTATATACTGGTGTACCCTCCCGCTTTTCAAACGGATGGTGTATAAAATCCATTTCCAAACGGAAAGTTTTTTTGGATTAAAAGTAAGTTACCTCAAGTTACACAATGTTATTTGTATTGCAATCACACTGAGAATACAATGCAAATTAGTTTAATTCGAATTAATTTACAACAAAACAAATTACTTTACATAATTCATTAGCAAAGTTAATTCTAATTTAATTTTGACACATATATGTAACAACAAAACCTGCAACATGCCATTACAAATAACATTTCTTGGTGAAGTAACAAAAACCGGTCCTTCGGATAAGACCGTATAAAACGAGGTTCAATGTCACAGTAGGTGCAGGCACGAAAAAGATCCCTCACTGCTCAATGGCCCATTGCCAAGTATAGGACAAAATTTGCAGCTAGTAAATGTTGCCGTCTCTATATGACTGAAACATTCTCGAAAGGGACGTTAAACATCAAACAAACAAAGACAACTTTTATATCTTATATGACATGCAGGCGTGCAGTATCGAGCGGAGAGCGGAGAAGTGCACTTTTCGATAACATTTTTACTGTTAAATACCGGTAAGTATAAAAATGTTCATTGAAAGAGCTTTTTTGCAACATGGTTAAGGTTTCCTACGGTTTATTTTAAAATTCTTTCTTATCAAAAATGCTTTGTAAAATTATGATGAAGACGGAAACACTTATATAAGAAATATTTCGATCAAAATTGGGTTTTTTAAATTTGCTTTTATTTGATGTTTGAGGATTGAATTTAACTGGCATACAAAGAAATGTTCCCATTTGTGAGAAAAAAACTCATTGCATTGCCTTTATGGCATCTAACACATCATAAACTTATTATTTTTTTTATTCATTTAGGTTTTAAAAGTTTTGTATAAATGAAATTTTAATCATCCTTGATTTTGTTATTTTTGCACTGCCTTTATGGTTTGGGTCAGTTTCTTTATAACACATTATAAGGATATTATTTTTTTTAAATTTCATTTTTAAATAATTGAACAACTGTGGGTGTAAAATTGTGGTGATTTTTATGTTCAAATTTGGCCAATAATACATAATTTTGTAATAACTGATACACAGAACTAGCAGCCATGATGTTTTTTACATGAGGTAAGAAGTTAAAGTTAAAGGCACATTTATTAAATCTGGATTTTTTTGAATCCCATACTGGAAATAAGAGGATTGCATGGATACAGATGATTCAGCTGGTTGTCAAGGGGGTGTGTCCCCATACAAAACCAGGTTATTAAGAGATGGTTTGCGTTCCTTTTTGGAAATCAACCAATTAGAGACTAGAATATATACAAAATTAAATTATATATATTTAATATTCAATGTAATTCTAAATAGCCATGCTATGTCTGTTGAAATAAAAAAAAAACTAACAATTGGCGATGCAAATACCCTGGGAAAAACAGCTTACGTATATTTTTCAAATCTTACGTCTGCCTTTATTGAATTACTAAATAAAACAATTGACACAAAACATTTAAAACAACTCACAATCTAACAGTTCTATGAGGAAGTATTCTAAAAATTAGGTTAGAGAGTATAAATTTCCAGAAATCAATTTTGAGAAAATTTACAATAAATTCCTAAGAACACAATTTTATTGAATGTATTTAAAAACCATAACAAAAACATCATGTTTCCAATTAAAAAAGCTACTATATTTTTGTCATGTCATCAAATTTGTGATTGTTGCCAAATATCTCTTTACTCTGTAAGTTTGAAACTGCGCAGTATTTACTTATTTTCTTATAAAAACATATCAGACAAAAGGAAAATGTAAGAAAATACGGTCAGACGTTAAAACGATAATTAACAAAATGTTATATTTCATGATATTTTATATTTGAGAATACCGAGATCACATGCCAAGCAATTTAGACCCAAATATCACTAGTGCATTTGTACTTTTTGTACTCCATTGGTATAGTTTACATAGCATCCCTGTTTTAAATGTTACAGAGCAACTAGGGTATCTCCCTACTTTTCCCGTGAAGCAAGATATAGGTTTGAGGATGTTCACATTAATTGAATTCCATAAATGCTTGATTGTCTATCCCGACGAATTTTTTTATATATCAGCAGAAAAGATGTAAGAAAGTAAATTTTCCATGTTTTTAAGAGTGCAGTTGTCTTTAATTCTTTAACTAATTTTTGTATATATGTTTATTACATATCATCTGAGAGGCATTTTATTTCCATTTCGAGAGAGATGTTAATTTATAAAATCTTAACAATATTTGTTCTACCGAGCCTCTTTCTTCACTCATCACTAAAATAGTAACAGCAGTGAAGGAGAATATTCAGGAGTATTGTGCAACAATATGTTGGAGAAGTGGTATAAATCAGAATAAAAGTTCCTAAGACCTTTTGGAAAATTTGAAATCACAAAATTTTACCAAAATCAACAGCATAAAAACTTAACGACTTCTAATTTTTTTAAACAACCATTTCCCACGATGAATTAAAGTCCAGACTCTTTGATATCATTGACAGCTGCTTTTTCAATACACTGAAGTTGATATTAAAAAGAAGTTTGAGTTTCTGGTTGACAATATCTACTGAGTATGTGGTTTTTGGAGACCAGGACTTCAAACTACTTTTGAAATTCCCATAGTTATCAATTGTACCTCTTTATTAGCAGACCTATTTTTTTGTATTCATATGAAGCAGAATTTGGGCAATATTTTATACGTGAAAAGAAGAAAACACTTGCTGTGGCCTTCAACTCGACATTTTGATATATCGACGACGTATTATCAAATACAAATGCTTATTGCTTTTCTCGTGTCTATACGATATATCCCTGTGAGCTTGAAATAAAGATAACACAGACTCTGACACATCTGTTTCATGTTTAAATATTTTACTTGAAAAATACCTTAATGGTTATCTAACTACGAAACTTTATGATAAACATGATGACTTTAACTTTTTAATCGTCAACTTCCCTTACAGCATTTTATATTATATTGCAGCAATATACCTTCATCATCTGCATACGAGGTTTATATCTCTCAGTTTATTTGGTATGCAAGAGCATGCTCTAAGTATGAACAATTTCTAAAGCTAGGTAAATTAATGACAGCCAATTTGCTGACACAAGAATATTAACAGTATTCTTTAAAGTCATCATTTAGTAAGTTATGTGGTCTATACAATGATCTTGTCAGCAAAGACAATCTATCATTAAGTTAAATGCTGACAGAACTTTTTTCATATTTATTGTTATATTTGTTATAATTATATACACACTGAATTGTTGGCGGATTTTCTCCGTTATTTTCCGATCATGACAAGGAGCACATGGCGGGTGTGACCGATCAGCAGGGGATGCACACTCCTCTACGGCACCTGATCCTACCTTTGATTATTTGGAAATCCGTGTTTTCTCTACTCCTGTTTGTCTTGTTATTGGACCCGGAGGACAGGGCTGCTTTATACATATAAGTTTAAGTGTTAGTGCATTGGGATCGAGGTGGGAGAAGTTATTCAGAATTAAATGTTTTCTAAACATTAAAAAGATTGATAATCAGAATGTTTTCCCTTTATAAATTACGAGATATACAATATTTACTTCCATAAGGTGAATCTGTAAAAATATATATGTTTGTCATATTTAATATATAAAAATGCGTATCATTTACTATCGAAAAACGACAGGTCCCCTTTTTTAGAACATCGAATTTTACTTATCGCATAAAAACTTACTTTACACAGTTCTTGTTTTATATTCTTAAAGTGAAATACATTTTTGAAAATAGGTAATGAGTGTGTCTGGTTTCAATTTATATTTTATGCAGCCAACATTCACTTGAGGAATTGATAAAGTTTAAAAGGGTATCGTTTTTGTTCGATTTTTATCCGACTATAAGTTTTCAAACTATTCTCGACTATTGTCACCATCATTTACACGCATGTCTATTTCACACATATCGAAGCGGTTTGATGATAAAGACTCATTTCCATTGTTTACTTTATTTATTTCCCGGGCGACAGTTGATGGTTACATCAATGTTTTCTTGTGAATAAGTTGATGTAAATTAATATTTCACTTTTGACAATTAAGTCTAACCCACATCTTTCTTCTTTGAAACTCGCTGTTTGATCATAAAGCATCATTTTGTTGTGTGACCGATCGGCAGATGCACACTCCTCTATGGCACCCGATCCTACCTTTGATATTTTGGAAATCCGTGTTTGCTCTCCTGTTTTGTATTGTTTAATGGACTTTTGAGCTTTTGAGCTTTTGAGCTTGAATATTGTTCGTTATCTCCATATATTTGATGTGATTTTATTTTATGATTAAGTTGATGTAAATTGATATTTCCCTTTTGACAATATTGTCTAACCCACATCTTTCTTCTTTGAAACTCGCTCTTTGATCATAAAGCATATATTTGGCATTTTTACACATGATTGTAAGTACATGGGTCGTCAAAAAATTCGGAGTGAAATGACTTTTCAGTAGAATTCCTGGGTCAGCCAATTTAGTTCGAAAACAATATTTCCATTCTTTCACCTAGAAATGCTATTATATTAATTTCGATGTCTACTTTGTATTTATTCTTTGTGCCACATATTGACATTTTAAAATTTCATGCTTATCATTTAAAGTTTATAAAATTTATAGTATTAATTTTAATCAAATAAAAGAAGATGCTTCAAATAATATTTTTAAAAAAACATCTACACACATTATAAAATAAGTGTATAAAAAATTATATAACATTTTCTGTGTTCACAAAACATTTAATTTTAAGACAATTTACAGCTTATATAAGAACAAATGTAAAGCCCCTTAAGCCTCCGATTTCTAAAACTAGGCAAACAATTGATAAACAAGTTGAAGAAACAAGACTATCAATAGTCATAGCAACTTTGTGAAAACAATAAAAATTCAATACCACTTTTTACGGAAATTTATTCGAGCCTTTGAGCATAAAGATACAATTTTATGATATATACGCGTAGTAAGTAAATTGCATTGACAAATAAAGCACCATTAACAATTCGTTTAAACATCACCATGTGCATTGAAACAGAAATTTTACCCATGGTGTATTTCTTTTCAAGCAAATGTTTTCTTTACAAATAAAGCTTAATGAAACCTTTCAAAGATCAATTCAAGTCAAGGAATAATCATCACACTGTGTCGAAATGGTCTTATTTTTCAAAGTCATCGATGATATTTACTTCAAAGCTTTGTGGAGACGGACAAATTATCTTCAAAACCTGGAAATGGTTTGTCAGGTAGTTCTATGCTGATTCTGTTTCGTAGCTTTAAAGCATAAATATTGTACTAGTAAATATATTATTCGTTATATGAGAGTACAGTTAATTCGTATTAATCAATTTTGAGCCTTTTTTTACCTTTTACCTGTTCATGTTTTTGTTGCTCACTTTCTTCAGCTGTATAATTGTAATCGAAGTCTTCGAACTACAATACAAAAGTACAAATCTACTGCAAATAAGAATAGATTTATGCATTTATCAATTTAGTCTCTGTAGCAGAAATTACATGTATTTGTTGAACTAATTTTATTATTATGCTTGACCTACCGCATCTTTCTCGGTCGATGCTGAAAATCCACTATCAGTTGATTGTATTGATATCACTTTTTCATATGATTCTGTATAAGAAAATGTAATACCTCCTTCATTTCAAAGATCAATGATAGAAGAATATAGATAAATGTTCAGCTTTTGTTGTTGTTGTTGTAAGCTTTATTTAGAAACTATTATAATTCAGATAACATCTTTCCAAATAAGACTGCAATCCGAAAAAGTAAATTTTTGTTAAAATATATTTTAAGAAGGTGTGTTTAACCTTTATCCGAAAAAAATAAGGGATGAAGATTAATTGTGTTACCTGATGCCTTCCTGTTTTTATGTATCTTTGTTACATCAGTTTGATTTCGTCTTCTCACTTCCTGTAATGTACAACTCATGGAATTATTACTTTATTCAATATCTAAAAAAAAAAAGATATTTTTCTGTACTTTAGTAGGAAGCAATTTTATTTCCAATTTATGAAAATGTCAGCATGTACATATTTTAGGTGATTCTGGAGAAAACAGTGTGGAATTATCGATACTACCTTATTCCTTTGAGTAAAAATATCATTAGATCCATTAAATCGGTTTGAAAGAACTTTTATTCTTTGATCTTTCCTTTCGACTAGGCGAAATAGCGTTGTACAATAAATAATAAACATAAATATACCAAATATATTATCGTAGATCTTACTATTTCCTTATGACGGATATATATAAAACCTACCGGAACAACACCCTCGCGCGGGGTCGATTCACTTTGGCTCCTCTGTTGAAATTTGGGATAAACTGGTGGCCCTGTAAAAAAAATTGTCAAATAAATTATCAGAGAAAAATCTTGACTATTATTTTTCACATTGAAACGTTTTCTATTACAATATACTACTGGTACTTTATATGCATTTGATGCTATAAATCATATAAAGTTTTCTTTTTCTATTTAAAATTCATGGATATGTAATGCAGATAATACTGAGTTTAATTTTATTTCTTAATAAGTTGGGTTCAAATCAATTTTACGAAATAGCTATACAGTTAAGCCTTAAGTTTTACAAATAAAAAAGTTGTTATTGCTCAAAATACGCAAGTACATATGCGTTTATTTTCTCGTATAACTTCATCCTACTTATTTTAAATTCAATTTAATGATACAACTGCTTGTTTCATTTCTGTTTTAAACAAAGTAATTTTATATGCATTGTATATAAATACCTTACCTGAAATAGGGCACTGAAAATCCCCCAGTACACTAGCTGTAAGAAATAAATCAAAAACATATTTTTTTTTATTTCTACCAAACTTTTGCATTTCAATTTATATCACAATTAACAGTGTCATTAGTGTTCTGTTCAAATATCTTCTGTATACATGATTATTTTTTGCTCCGTATTATTTTCGCCCTTTAACACTTCAAACCATATTTGTCCAATTTTCGATTCGCCTTTTCTTTAATCAAATTAAACTGTGTTCAAATTTGCCCTTTTTAAATTCGCCAAAAACTGAGATAGGGCGAAAGGGTGAAAATTCCTTGTATAGAGTATTAATCCATACAAAAACCAACATGCGTGTTCCATCTTTGTTTATGACATAAAACAAAGAATAATTTCATGAATGTATTTAATAAGTATATTGCTGAATTTGAAGAGACTAGATGAGCTTAGTACTAATTTACTAACTTTCGTACTTTCGTGTATAAGAAACATGAATCATTGTGATTATATTTAGAAATTAGTTCGTAAACATTAAACTTACTATTAGATGACCTGTTGTGGAAAGGATCAAGGTCATAAGATAGTTTATGAAACCCCATTATTTTAGCTAATTGACTTGGAGTTAGGCCATCTTTATTCCGGATTGTCTGGGCTATACCAAAACCAGGAACTTTCACCAAAACTTGACAGAAACAGTCCAACCCAAATTTAGCGCCAAAGTGAAGCATTGTAGGGAGTTCTTTGTCAATCTGTTGTTCTGGTAAAATAATCAATTCAAAACGTTCAAATTTTATACATGTATTTTTTTTTATTTTATTAATTCTAAAAATCAATTTCCTTCTTTAAAAGAGTGTTTGGTTGTGATCTGATTGTTCTCTTTTCAAAAGACCTTTTTGACCTCAAAAAAGAAATTTAATGAACAATAGAATAATAAATAATAGTGATAATTTTTATAAACTCTGTAAAGTAATTTGCGAAAACATTAATAACATGCATAGACCCAATAACTCACCACGCCAAGAAAACCGTTCGTCTAGATCATTCAAGAATGAGAAATTAGAAATGGCATTATCATTAATTCTGTCTGCCAGATCTCTGTCCAAACTTTCTCTATCCTCTGCAGAAAGTCTCAGCACCTGACACAGAAATTCCACCGGAGATGCAATGTCCTTAATTTCTTCGTACAAGAAATCCATTTTGTTTCCCACCATTAAAGATGTAGTACCTTCAGATGTTCCATTAACAAATACGTTTACAGAATTCCTCCCGTAAGGTAAACCTTTGCAAAAATAAATCGAAAGTTTCCAAATTTTATTAAACTGGAACATCATATTGAAAATCACAACATTAAAATTTTAAGTATATAAAGATATTTTCAAATCTTCCTCTGAAATTTAGAATGCTGTCTCCCATCATTTTCATGATAAACATTAAAGCTAACATAAAATATTAACAGCAAACTCCTTATTGTTCAGTCCATGTTTGAATGTTTTTTTTTCTCTCCAAAATATTCCTTTTATTAAAGCATATTAGGATTGCATGAAACAAATGTAAAGCTAGAATGCAAAGTCAGTTACATAAAGTAAGACACTTGTATTGCATTAATTTAAAAATAATTAATACATGTATTTACTTGAGGAAAATAATGCATGGAATGCATCTAATCTCTGATCACTAAAGTAATATGTTCGAAAATTTAATTTCATAACCATTGTCAGGAATCATTGTGTGTATTTTTATTTTGCAGCTCTAAATCAGTTGAGTGACAAAATATTATCAATGTTAATCAACGAAAGGTTTGAATATACATATATCTTAAAGGGAAATGACTTTTCATTTCACGTATTTCCAGTTACATTTTTTGGTAAATGCATATGAAATAGTGCAAAAATGTTCCAATGTTTTTACTTTTTATTAAAGATCAATCTAACAGGAATGAAAAAAAGTCATTGAAATGATTCTGACTGAAGGAATTAAAGCATGATAAATTTACTCACCACTTGGAGAAAATGAATATGTATAGGGATTGAGGTATTTGGCTTCTATGTTTCTTCTATCCAAGTTTACAGACACGGCAGTGCCCTTTTCCTTTTTATCTTTGAACATAATATATACCAGATTCTTGTCCTGTTCAATATAAATGCATGCATATTAAAATAGTTCATAAATCGTCTTCAAAAATATACAAAGCTGAGAGGACCTGGATAGGCAATGACCACATTATTTGTTATTGATAGAGAATTTTATTGTTTAACACGCAGATTTTCGAAGAGCTTATTACGGTGGCATAGTTTTGATATCGAAGAATCAACGAGTGTGTACTTTTTAAACTTTCCTTAGCTTCATCTGTATACTTCTACTTTAAAACTTACAAGATTAAAAAAAAAAAAAAAAAAAAAAAAAAAAGCAATTTTATTTGACAATCCTATAAGCAGTAAAAATTCTGACTTACTGTTATGAGGTAGTTTGGTTCCAGTCGGTATTGCAGGGTGGCTGGAAATACATCTGTTGACATTTGATCAAGTAAACTCACAATGTTATGTATTGTTGATCTTACGGAGCCGAATTCCAGCACAGTCCAATCATGAAAATCTGGAATTTGGCTCTTCAGTATCGCCTCAGTTTCTCCATCAGAAAAGTTTACAGAATCGTGAACTAAAAATGCACAAGTTGAATTTGTGTTCTTTGGAAATCGGATAGAGGAACCTGCCATGTCTTTGGTCACCTTCAGGTGAGATATTACTTCAGGTGTAATCAAAAGAATTGTTACCTGATGATTCAAAGTTCTGCTTTCTATTTCGTCTATGTCGCAGATACTGACTTTGATTTTGAATTGGTCCTTGAATATTTCCAAATTATTCTTGATATATTCAGCAACTGGTACACCGTCATGCGTGTGTAGGATAAGTATAGAATCTTTTTCCATTTTTGGAAACATGGGCATATAAATTTCTTCCTCCATTATTGGAATTTCTAAGTAAACAATTAAAATTAGATATAAGAAACACTTACCTCGGAATGAAAGAAATAAGTTAATTATAATGCATCATTTGGTAGAATTGCTTTTGTATTGATTACAAGAATACGAAATTTATAGCATTTCTACTTACTTGAAGAAAGGTCTTAACTATTGTTTACACGACAATGGACCATAATTTTCTTACAGTTTGCTTTTATAGGTAAACCCCTTCCTCTTTTAGTGCGAATGCAACACTTTAAAGACCCAGAGAGTCGTCCGTGATATCTCACCTGTGAAGTTGTCCCAGATAACTGACATTTATATATGCAGTCTCATGGGGTTATATTTCATAATTACATTTAAGACTTACTTACAAACTAAAATAAATGTCATAAATTCTTTGGGTATTTCCGCCCTCTAAAATCTCTGCAACACAAGAAATAGAATATCAAAATACCTCTTCCTGATTTAATGAGAAACAATGAGTGTAGAGTATTTTTAAAGTGTCTTTATTGAGTTGTTAAGTCACATTAACCAAGAAGTTCGATGATATACAAATTCTCGTAAATATTTTGAAGTCAAATCGTGTATTAAAAGGTTGCTTTAATATATGAAATCAAACCAAGATGTTATTTTCTGCATAAAGAATATTCCAAGTATAAATATTCAAACACTATTTATTGACCGAGGTAAACCTCATCTGTAACAACAAAATCATCTATCTGTAAAATCTTGTCAACTTTGCTGTGAATAAAGGATCGAATCAGCCATCCTGGGTGCTAAAAGTATTGCATCATTTAGCAATGACTCCTTTTTAACAAGGTACAATTCATTTTTAAAGTTTATAATAATGATTATTTAAAAAGATTTATTTGTGAGGAGCCTGTCTCGGTTTAAATTTGAGCATGCTCTTGAATAGCGAAAAAGCCATCTCTCACCAGAAGCCGCGCTCGGCAAGCTTCACTTACACGCCCTCTGGTGAGAGATTGTCGAATAAGCTGAGAGACAAAACACCATAAGCAAGTGATAGTGGAATGCTACTACATAAGTAAGAACATTTGGAGATGGAAAAAATTAAAACTTATCATTTGTCATACAATTTAGTTGCAAGTTAGTCCTTGCCGTCTATAATCAGTTTTAACATCCTAATCTAAAACAAAACGTGTAAAACTCTTCGATGCCTTTCTTTCAAGTTCACTCGGGTATATTGAATCGATGTACATGTATGAGTGAAATAAACAATTGTTAAATGGTCATAAAATGTCGATATACTTAAATGTCGAGTTGAAGGCAACAGCAGGTTTTTTTTCTCCTGTAGAAATTATGTTTCATAGGAATACAAATACAACTTTTATAATAAAAAATCACATTAAGTGTCCACGGAATTCCAACATTTTGTTGTCTCTGAAGATATTATAAATGTTGTCAATGAAAAAATCCGGCATCTTTTTAATATCGACTTTACGGTATTTGCATGACAAATCAGATCGATTTTAAACGAAATGATTTTGTTGATTTTATTAAAGAAGTAGTTGTCTGACGTCAATTTCAGATATAATTTTCTCTCACTAGCTTGGTTACATAAGGGCATTTTTTCAATGTCATTTTGAGCAAAATTTTAGCATATTCTCATACATATTGGATTTATTCCATATCACACAGATTAATGAATCTAGATTCCGTTCTGACTCTTCATTGATTAACAGAAGACAAATTGTTCAAAAGTATTTTCTTCATTTTTAACAAAAAAAATCATTATTTGATTTTTAATAAGGTTTGTCTAGCGCTTTCTTCACAATACTTAAAACCATCACGCAAATAATATATTTTATGATCAATTAGTTAACCTTCCATAAGAGTAACAATGGCGGGTAACTGTAAACCAAACGTATGAACATTACACAGACAAGAAAGCCAGTTTTGATTGTATCAAAAAGACACTTGTACTAGGAAGAATACTGTATGGAAATTAATATGTGTACATGGGTATGGATTCTGCGTTTGCAATTTTGCTTTATCTTTTTCATCGGCAACGTGCCAAAATTTTTAATTGAAATATAAACGGGTATTCCCCTACCTGTCTTTGTTACAAAAGTATCAAAATAAAGTGTCAAAATTCTGAACCTTTATACCACATTACCCTCTTGACAAAAGAATTTTTTATTAACTTTAGATTGTAAATTGTTACACAGCATGTGCCACGGAGAAAAATATTTTTCGATATGCATATTCATCTAGTTTGATAGATGTTAAAAAAATCTTCAAGTGATCAAATGTATGGTAAAGTCTATAGAAAATGCATGTTTTTTTCGAGCTACATGAATTTCTAAAATATGCTTGAAATGGAAAATATGTTTTATCTGTCTAAGATTTTTCTGAAGTGTTATTTGTCTATCTATTTACTCCTAAAAATATTTTTTAATCACGTGAACAGCTGGGTTTTTTAATCATTATTGTTTCATTAAAGAGTTACGTATAAAAAAATTGTATTTAAAAAGATCATAATAGATGCATAGATAACATTTTAAAATTAATTGATATTAATCTTTGCAATACATTTCTCTAAACTGTATTTCCCTTTTCCATATCTTATTGGTATTTGCATATAATGAGTAAAATAATTTCAGTTAGTCCTACATTGTAAATTACTTAAACAGATCATAGAAATGAAACAGCTTCATTCATTATATCTATAATTGATATGTGTCTCGTTTGTTGTTTCACAAACAATTTCAATTTTTAAAAAAAAAACGCTTTCATATTTAATCACCTCTTCGAAAAAAAAATGATTACATTTCTATAGGAATTGAGGTATCTATAACTTCTATGTTTCTTCTATCGACGTTTACAAGCACGGTTGTGCCCTTTTCCTTTTTATCTTTGAAAATAATATATACCAGATTCTTGTCCTATTCATAATAGATATAATTTTTATGTGTATTTCAAAGAAATAAAGATGATAAAGATTTTCAATAAATTGCTTTGAAGTTATAATTTTTGACTCCAACAAATTTTTTGATGCAGAGAATATGGTAAATTTTAATAGTTTTTCTTTTAATTATTTATTTCTTTATTTTTTTATTTTCTGTAGTTTACATATCGGAGTTTGTATACCATTTCAATCCTCTGTTGACTTAATATATATGCATATGCTTTGACTTCTAACATATAATTTACAATTCAATTCCATTATGATGAGACAATTTGAAAATATTTCTGAATTACTGTAACGTTTATGTTGTAGTCTGAATCCAGTTGGTATTGTTAAATGGATGGAAAAGTCCTGGTGAAATTGCATCAAGGAAATTCATAACGTTAAACATTGTTGATTTCAGAAGGCTATTTTTAGACCCTGTCCATTCATCAAAACCTGGAACTTTGCTTTTCAGTACTGCTTGAGTGTGCTTATCGCAAAAGTTTACGGAATCATGAAAAAACTGCACAAGCTAGCTGTTTTATATGGAAACATTCCGTATCTGTAATTGACTCCAGGTGAGATATTACTTCCGGTGTAAAGACGAATAATGACCCCCATCAAATAATGACCGGGGGTCATTTTTCGACAGCGAAAAATGACCCCCGGTCATTATTCGACGTAGAAAAATGACCCTTTTGCCCGTAGAAAAAGTGTCACCACTCTAAAAATTTGCAGAACCCACGTGAAGAAAAATGACACCCGTAGAAAAATGACTCCCTACGACGGCGTATTCGTGCCATTTTAACAATGTAGAAATTTTTCTAAAAATCGTTTGAACGATTTAAGAAAAAGTTTGTACGATTTAATAAATCGTTTGTACAATTTAATAAATCGTTTGTACAATTTAGGAAACTGTTTGTACGATTTTCAAAAATAGTTTGTACGATTTAGGAAATTGTTTGTACGATTTCTTAAATCGTTTGAACAATTTAGGAAATCGTTTTGATCCCGATCCCAATCTAATAGTAAATTGAACTTTTGCATTGTTAATGTGAAAAATATTTAGTATACGCAATGCAATTAATTTATTTTTGATACTTAAGATTTTGATGAAATAATACTTGGTCTGAAACAAATAGTAATGGAGATCGGGGTGTTAATAATCTTTAATGCATTGAATCCTGAATGTTATGTGTTTGTGTTTATTTGAACCGGACATTGCATCTCTAGATATTCAATATACATGTTGTTTTCTTGTCAAAATATCGACAAGAAACAAATGAATATTGCAATATTATTTCATAATAATGTTTAATAATTGTATTATATTTAATCGTACAAACGGTTTCCTAAATTGTTCAAACGATTTTTAAAATTCGTACAAACTATTTTAAAAAATCATATAACGATTTAATAAATTGTACAAACGACTTAACAAACAAATTGTGCAAAAGACTTATTTAATTGTACAAACGATTTATTAAATTGTACAAGCGATTTATTAAATTGTAAAAACAATTTATTAAATCGTACAAACAATTTTTTAAATCGTACAAACGTTTTCTTAAATCGTAAAAACGGTTTCCTAAATTGTTCAAACGAATTATAAAAATCGTACAAACTATTTTTAAATTAAAAAATCGTATGAACGATTTAATAAAATTGTACAAACAATTTAATAAATTGTACAAACGATTAAAAAAAATTCTACATTGTTAAAATGGCACGAATACGCCGTCGTAACTCCCTGTTGATTAAAGGTGAAATTTTTAGGGGGCAAAAAAAAAAAAAATTAGATAAAGAAGCATATTGGCCAAAATGCTCACCTGAGCTTATATGGAATAAATTTTGAAATGTTGATCTCATAATACACGATTATAGCTATATTTTAAGGTCAATGTGATGATTCATAATCTAAAGGAGTAAAGATTTATCGAGCCTAAAGGGTTAGGTAAACATTGTTTTTCGATGATGGAAATCATCGTACTGACAGAAAAAATCAGCAGTATCATATATTATTTTAGCCTCCGCTTGGGGTATCCATCTGTAATCCGCAACTCCTCTTACATATAAAAAGATGTATTTGTAAAACAGCTATGCCCCTGTATGGCAACATAGCGAAGATTAAACTCTTCTGAAAGGCAATTTAAATATAATTGTACCCAAAGTAGGGTCTTCTCACAAAAAATACAATTGCAAAATAGGAAAGCCCTAGCACCACTTGTTCAAATTAATGGCTAAGGATAAGTGTTTGAAAGGTAGGTCAAACTGAAAGGTCAAAGGGTCAAAGTTGATGGTTTCTTAAGAAAGGTTTAATATAACAAGGATTACATTTGTGAAGTATGAGAGTACTAGTATCTACCGTTTAAAAGTTAT